TACAACCGCTCTCGATTCCAACCGTTTGCGCACAAGCGACCGGGCAGAGGTCAGGGGTCATTTGAACAATGCTTATTAGGTTGGCTTAAGAGCAGATGAATAAAGCAGTGCTAACTGAGCGAACAATCATCTGAGTTGGTTGTGATGATGGCTGAGTTAATTTACTAACGGTTCGTTCAAATAAGATGAGGAGCGAAGACGAAACCGCCTGCGACATCATTTCAGTGCCAGCCAGTGGACACGGCGTGCAATGTTTCTGGACGTTACGCACGCACCGGTGCACGTATATAGCATAGCGGTGCAACCAAAGTGATAAAAATAAACGAGAGCTCGTGAGAACCCGAAATGCACATGAAGGGCAGGCGCGCAGCATATCAGCATTTTAACTAGTCCTTCTAATTTTGTTTCGGTGGAAGGAATAGATGCCTATAATTTATTCTGAATTGTATTAGTTTCCGGGAGCTCATACACGCAATCATTTGAGCTTCCGCAGGGTATGCCTCAAAATCTAGTAAATGTCATGCGCTGCTTGCATTCATACACTTGTGGTGCGTGTGGATGTACGGCGAGCTCTCCAAAAGCTTTCCTACAACCAATGGTTTCCGACAAGTGTGTCCACTTTTCCCATTTTTGCTTTGTTCCGTTATTGCGTAGATTATAAGGTCTCCGAAACCCCAGTGTTCAGATCATTCCGAGCCAGGGCCTTGGTTACCTGGAATATGCAGACACTGTTCTTGTTTTCGATTCAAAACTGAAGGCGCAATTAGTACTTGAAGAGTTGACACGGTTCATCCGGTCACTCACCACATTCTTTGCGCCCACAAAGTGCAAAGTCATGCTGCAGGACGTACAGTCTTTGAACATGTCTCCGAGAATTCAAGGACTGCACTGGAGGTTGTGGAACGCTATACATATATCAGAAGTTGATTTAACCCTGACGGTGGTGTAGCAGACGAAGTTACTACACACATCTTGAAGACCGAAATTGCGTTGGCCGATCTGCATCCCTTGTGGCGTCCAGGAGGTATCTCACTGGGTCTCAAAGGACACGTGTATCAGACTACAGCACGGACTCTATTGTCGTATGTCTGTGGCACTTGGTCACCTCATGTGGAGGATCTGAGACGACTTCAGGTCTTTGACCACCGATATCTCATAACTATAGGTGAAATCGGCTAAGAACAAAGAATTTGGAAAGAGGTAATCAGTGTAAGGTATTTCACTCAAACAACGCATCCAGTACCACAAGTTAAGTTGGCTGGGCAACGTGTTGCGCATATCGAAGTACCGCCTCCCGGGATTAGCGCTGTTTTCCTTGTCACATTCAGAGAGGCGGAAACCTAAAAGTGAAAGGAATTTAACATGGTAGAAGGGAATGAAGAGTGTTAAGAAACGTTTTGTCAATGGTGGCGCTGTTCTGTGCTTCTCTGGAGACACTGAACGAACTGGTAGTTAACCAGCTTTATTGGCATTCAAGTTTTCCGTTTTTATTCAGAGTGTTGGAGGTGAACGCACCTCGAATATTTGTTGTACACTGGCCCTACGTCCCCCTTCCTATCCCATTCTTTCTTCTCTCTGTTATGGGGCTTTGGTCAAACGAACTGACATGGTTTTATGGCTTTGAAGTGCCCGTGTTCTCGTCCGGTGTTGACACCAGTGATGACTATAGTGGGCGCCAATCAGACAGATATTTTCGCAGCTCGGGACGGTTTCCATCTACTCAGGACGTTTCTAGCAGACGACAGCTGTCATTGAACCCCACAGCTCCAAATGCGAAATACATAAGCTATCAAACATGAATTCCATAACAAGTTAAATTACAGCTAGCCAAGCAGTCCAAGTTTGTGGAGAGCGTTATCAAGCCTTAAGCGTTGAATCACTCACACGGGAAAACCTTTTGGTCTGAAAAGTATCGTTGAGCTTAGGACAAGGTAGAAGCATGAGTAAAGTTTCAAAGCAAACGAAACGTTGGACTAGCCGCCTCAAAACCATTTCATTCCAGTAATTTCTGTCGCCTGTGGCTTTTAATGGGTTTGTTGAATAGCGTTATCCCAGCTTTCGCATATTGTTGGTAATTTACCGCGGAGGACAACCACACCATTCTCCACTACACCGTAGAGAGTTCTTTCGTATCAAAGTTTTGAAGTTATGAAACGAAAAAAATGTATCGCTCTTTCGTAGATTTTAAGTTCGCTAACGAAATCGCGACGTAAACCGTCTTTACGCTTGTGTGTTTGAGAGCTCGAGCACTGTGAATCACTAGTTTCATCGGGAACTTACGCGGGTTCGCACAGTGACCCGCAACTGATGGTCAGGGCATGTGGCTGTTTGAATCAATATTCTTCTGCTGTAATTACAAGTATTTCAGTCCAAGAAAGCAACAATAGCCGCGAACTCCTAGTCATCTGTCAAAGGGTAACAAGTACTTTTCATTACCATCATCATCACCATCAGCATAACACAGCTGTTAAACATCGATGCTTCACTGTCGTATATTTGTGTGTGTAAATTCATGGTTGACTGGGATATTGCCAGGATGCCCAAACCTGGAAAGCACAACGATTTTGGCCCTCAACCAAAGCCTTTGGCTCAGACGCCTGATTGCAAGGCAGTGACGCTTGGCGGGAAATACAGGCACACGAAGGCATTTTTATCATCACACGTTTCAAACCTCAACACATATTGCCAGAAGGCTGTGTTCACCAGATCGCTAACGACTGACGAACCGGGTATGACAGAATTTGCATGTGTCGCAAGGACACCCCACAGTATAACTCACTGGATCGCGCTGACACACAAACCGTCGCATCACGCTTAGTTCCTTTCTCTTCGTGACACTAGTGCCGTTCAATAATTAGTTTGGAAAATAGTGTGTGAATATTTTCGTACTAACGGTTGATGTTACACATAACCCACTTGTGCTGTCAAACCTCTCATATACGACTTACTTGAGCTAGTGTGTGGTTAGGGTGCGAAGTTACGCACTCACTTTGAAATTCTTACACAACTGCATAGCATCGACTTATAAAAATCTGTATTTTTAAAAGAATCAACAAAATACCATGAGTTGTACAAAGAACACGTCGACAGTTAGTCAAAATATCTATGTTAAAATATGCATTTGAGATGACACAATGTGCCAAGATGTATCCAACTTCATTGCCGATTTGGGAGACCAAATTCATTGAACTTTCGGTAGAGGGTACGAGCTCAGTTTACAAGTTTGTATGCTTTGTCCAGCTCAGCCTGAGTTCCGGGAGAGAAAGTCTACCATTTCAAGGTCTCGTACGTTTGTTCTGACAAATGTGCAGTTAATGCACTAAGTTATCTGCGGCTGACCTCAGTAGCAGCATTTGGAACCGCTGGTTCAAATATATAGTAATACGGCTTCTACTTTTGTGGATGCAATTTGCACGAGTCATATAGGTTCAGTATTCACTAGCAACGTGACTTCAACCGGTAAAGTGCCATTAGACGGTACGACGAGGAAGCGCGCTAAATCCTAGGTTGTCTCTTGAACTGAAACTTCATGCCGTCTGGCCCGACCGGATGGCAGTAGGTCTCCACTAAAGTCAGCTAGTAAAAAAGTTGACCATATATACGTTCCAAACGTAATGGGAGCTTGCAACCCACTCTCATGTGTCACGTAACTGGGAACTACACAAAATCCTTGGACATCGTGGTTTCTTTAATTCTAGTGATCGTCTGTCGAAGTAATATTCGTGGCTTCTTCGATGAGTTGCTCCTTTCTCTTGCAGTTGAGAAAGCTCATAAAACAGATCTCTATGTGGATAGTTTCAATGGAGTAAGTAGAAAATTATCGGTACGGTTTGCGAAAAACGAAGAAAATTAATCAGTTAAAGCCACAAAATCCAGTAGTTGTTCTATCAGTGGAACACTGAGTAGTGTCGAGCTTATAAGAGTACTGTTTGTTTACTAATCCTCTCTCCGTAGTCAAGTTTAATTGTCAGTAGGCAATCGTGTATTATACAAAGTACGATGCATGCGGCCTCTCTTGCGGTCAAGTGAACTTTGGTTGTTCATTTCAGTTCACTTGGTAACGATCTTCAATGCAACTTGCATTTTCAGGTTGCAAGTGCAAATAGGTTTAGACAATGCAGTGAGATTTGGGAATTTCAGTAAATATTTCCTCTTGTAAGGGAAGCCATTCTCCGCTGAAGAGCTTAGAAAAACTGTACAGTTGTTTCATCCCTCTAGGGAATCGTCAACATTGAACACCTCACGAAACTTCATGGAGTGTGAAACCCGTACTTTTCCGACCAGTGGTTCAACACTTAACCATTAGGCCACCAACTACTGATGAGCAGTTTGAGTATAGACATCAGTTGATCCGAGTGATGATTAGTCGCTGATAGTCAAACGTTTAACTGTTCATACTGCCATCAGGGAGATTGCGGATTCGAGATTTCCTGGGGTTTCTTGAGATATGTATTTTCAACGCCTCCCAATAAGGATGGAACAGCCGTGCTTCCAAACTTTGCAGCCTAGATCTGATGAGTATACCTACAGAGGCCATAGCTTCTCAGTAGACAGGTATCAACAGGGTTATTAAATCTGTGCAGCCATTTACTGTCTTAGATGCAGTTTCATCTAGCCTAATGCTTCAGAAGTGGGAATTCGATACCATAAACGAGTTGAATATTCGCCGCATTAACTGAAGGCGTCTTTGGCTCAGTTCGGTAAGTCCATCAAGCTCTTGCTTGTGAGTTAATTTTACTATACGGAGCATCTCTCACACTTGCGCATTAAAAAAACTAGTTCAAACGCTTGAAAACATCATCAACGGGAGATTCAGCTGGGATCCACCTGAGACTGTCGTCAAAAACAAATTGATATAAAATGAGTGTATTTGTCAAAGTCCAAACATTTACTTTAAATCCCACTTTCCAGCGTCTGTTGCAAATCACCTAAGCTACCCTTGAGTATTTGTCCTCGTTTCACGATTCTAGGATCCGTATTTTGGTTTTCCTACTCTACAGGCATATCCTCCTCCTCCTCAAAAGAAGCACACATGTTCAAGGACTCGATGGGTTGCTCTATCTGGTCACCAGCAGAATACCCGGGTAAGTCTGAATCCAGCTTTCACAAAGAAATGAAGGGTATCTGGGAGCCGCCTTAGGCCATGTGGCGAAAACTATTCAAGTCGTTCAACTCAGTACCACCTTCAGTGCAGCGTTGGAATTCAGCTAATGTATTGCTGCTAAAAGTTATTGAGATGGCCGAATAACCTGGAAGAGTAAAGAATGTGTTCGTTTTGTTTGTGCTATAATCACTGTCCGGCTTATCGTGAGAGCCACCAACAATTTGGATGTAGTTTGTATCCGTTACCTCCCGAGCGCTGTGCACCATTCCCGAGAGAGGCACGAGTGGGGTATTCTTTCTGATCTAAGTGTCCAGAAGCCAATGAACGCCACAATCAACCTGGTCGTCATCTTGTACCGTTTATCTCCCTCTAGACGCAATCTCTGCGCTAAGGTTAAACAAGTTCATCTGTCATTTAGGTAGATGTTAGCACATTTACCACAGTCAGTTGGGAGTCAGTTCGTGCAGTTTTTTGAAAAACACAATGGTGCACAAATAAGGTTGCTCTTACTCATCCACTAGATAGTTTTATGGAGCCTTTTTGATCGGCTTTTATCGCATGATGACTCTCAAAATGACGGATTAAAGCAACGCCATTTTAAAGCCTCCAGGAGAAGGTGAGGTTGGCTGGGATACATGAATAATCCTTCGCACTGAAACACTGGTTATCCCATCTAAGAACATTACTCATGTACCAGGGAATAATGAGCCCCATATTTTGGCCATAAACTATTCATAGCACCAACCCTTAGGCCTGGGCTCGTTACATTGACTACACATGCCATTTTTCGAAGAGTGAATTGACTCATTTTACTTTCTTTTGTTTTCACTTTTAGATTCGCCTACATCAGCTGTCAGCTACGTTAGCCGCTGCGTCGTTCCAGTGATCGGTTCGCGCTATTAATTACAAGCAGTCAGACAACGATTTCTTTGATCTTTGCTTCACTTTGCACAGAAACCCAGTGCTCCTTGTAAACTGAAGTTAGATTCTACTCAAACACAGCGAATACTAAACACTGTTTGATTGCATTCTGATGTTAGCTATTTTGATAGTTTTAAGATGCCTGGTGCATGATGATGGATTGTGGGGGCAACTCTAACTAACCTATTGCCTAAAAAGTAGTAATATTAGATTGGTTGGAAATCTATGCGATTATTTGGTCAAAGAAGAGTCCACAGATTGGTACTCGAGTTCCTAACCTGGAGGACTGTAACTCCAATCCACTCCTCACGTTTCCATTGCTCCTGATTCAGCTGGAACAACATGATAGTACTCAAGCAGTTGTACCCATTCGCTTAACTTTGAAGTCACGGTATGTGACAGCAGTAACAGTTTTGTGTAAATCAGTTTCCGTTCAGAATTCCAAATGCATGGGGAATGAGTGGAAAGGAATGTTGGTTTGAATGATTCAGAGTACTTGTCCACCATCACCTTCAATCTGCCTGTTTATTCTCGTCCTAAAAATCTGTACGGAAATCCAAAACTGAATTGCCCTACTACCAGTTTCCTGATTAGATAGAGAATTTTTACCGGAGATAAAAGGTGAAATGAGATCTTTCCTAATCAGCTTTACTCTTTCCATCCTGTGAGCTATGACTGTGTGCACGAACTGTCCAACTTTAGAGTAAGATGCAGAGAGTAACAAAAGTTACTATTTACCTGGCTTCAAATAGTCGATACAACCAAGACCTTTTGAGATAAATGCACCAAACAACTCACAGACGTAAAATATGCGCATTAATAAAGATATCTCATCATCCTTATTGGCAGTGATGCTTGTATGTCGTGAAATCGCAAAGCTGCTTTGGTAAGGCAAGTAGAATGGACCGACAGGGACCTAATGCAAGCCTATCACAAGAAGTCTGATGTGTTTACACCTACACACGCCCGATCCAACAGTCAGCATTGAAAATAACATCAAAAACATCTCTTGAAGTGTCAGTAGCACACCATAGGAGGTCACGTAAACCTATTCTGGAAGGCACGGGGCACCTACGCCACCCAAACGTTTTGTAATATTCTTCACATCACATGTCACACGCTGTTCAACTCTCAGTTTGCACCATTCTGAAAAAGACGCAAGGCAAGTTACCCGTCTCCGCACATGATGATTCATCATGCACAGCATATGACGTGGGCTTTGCAACTGATATTGTTGAATGATCCCCCGCAGAACCCCTGCTGTATCTGTCACAAAGCCGGAAACCCATTTTCTAAGTACTCAGTTGCTGATTTGTCGAAGCAGTTGGATACCAGGAAGGCTCCCGAAATACTGGTAATCAAAAGCCCAAAGGCGTCTCAGATCATCTGTCTTCAGCGGCCATGTCCCGCAATAACACCGAAACACGTCCATTAAGGCAGCCACCATTGAGAACCGATGACATGCTAGGCTGACACACAAGTGATACAGGCTGGCGAACGTGAATCAAGCCTCCGTGATTCGTGCACCGACTTATTCAGGTACATTTTCGCGAGAGCCAGTAGAGCTACCTAGGTATCTAAAGAAAGGTGCGGTTGCGAGACATTCCCATTTCCACAAGGTAGTCTTATTCAGACCAAACAAAACATACATATCAACCCATCCGAACAAACTTTTCCTGTGTTGAATGGCTCTCACGGCAGCCGGCTTGGCAATATAATTATTTGGTCACAGTTTATGTTCACATTGGGGTGTGGACTTCCAATCTGACGAAGTTCGTAGTTTTACAACCCTAACACTAGTATCTTATTCTCAGAAAATTTCGTGAACTCTTTCCTGCATCATATATGATCCTGGCCGCTGGACTAAATCGACACTTAGTCCAGTATTCACACAACAGGGATGCTGAGGCGTGTTAACAGTCTTCGGCCGTTGATCCATGATGCGCATTCTCAGCCTATCACTGAGACGTTTAATGGCGCAAATGTTCTTCGGGGAGATAGGACCCATCTTTATTCAGTAAGTTGAATGTATGTTGTAGATTCAACTTCTGGCAATGCCACCGGCTGATCTTTCACTATTCGTTTACTTGATTAGTTTCTTCACTACCGGTGACATATTGCTTTGAGAATCATTTCTTTAATGTAGACGTAATACACTAAGCATAAGAGATTCAGTTGGGTTCTAGATGAGTCCCGCACAAAATCAAAGTGGTTGCAAATGAGTGTAGTTCACTCACTTCTATGATGGTTCGAGCAGCTGTCACGGTTTAGCAGTGTTCGGTCTGTTTTCACCACAAAAATTATCGATTGTTGCCATTCTCCGATCAGTGCAGTCACTGGTTGATTTTACATGAACCCTGTGACGTAATCATCGCCAGCGGACATCCAGTAAACTGTTATCGCCAACGGATTCGTCCAACCGACTAGTCGGTCAGGTTATCTAGCTGACCTTGGCAGACGGGCGCACTAGAAGACCAATCGCCATGTAAGCTAAAACCATGGACCATAACATCATCTCAGATATATCACATTCGGTCAGTGGCTGTTCACAGATGGTTCGGTGTTGGATTATTTTACACCATGATTCGGAGTCATGCTTATACTTACCTTAGCTCTTTGGCTGATTGCATTAGCGACTTATCAGATTTTACCGGATCCATAGCGTCGCTTGCCTCACCTAATTTCCTGCATGGGAACAAGTCGGAGGAAGACAGCGGTATTACTTTTTGTGTGGACGCAAACAAGGCTATCCAAGGACGGGTCAAATTTGAAAGTCTTTGCCAAGACGATGACGAGGATGATTTAACCTCTCGGTTTACTGGATTGAATTGTACCTGTTCAACTTATCAAAACTATAGCCTGCAAGCAAGTTGTCCATCCTCGCAGGATTCGAGTGGGATCCAATGTGCATCCAGTTACAAGCCCATCTATTTTACTCCTGCGAACAATCCTTCCCGAAACATGAACCAACATGATTTTACAGAATCTTATACTCTGTCCCATGTACATTTCCCAGTTCCAGAAGGAATCTTCACTCTGGGCAGCTTGGTTGGTACTGGAAAGTACGGTTGTATTCTGGAAGCCAAACGTTTCCATTCTCAAAACGGATATCACCAAGTGACTTACGACTACGTTATCAAGTGTCTTTCACATGAATTGTCGTTTCAAATTGAACTGAACGCTTTCAGTCATATGGCTCATGTACTACTCTCGGACCGTCGGGAGTCGACATATATGCATTACCACCCAAGTAACTTTACCAGATATGTGCACCTTTTGGAATCCCTTCCAGCATTAGAGGAGAAGTTACATCCTTTTATTGCTCAGCTGTCTGGGTTCACTACGATGCGACTTCGGCGCAAGAGTCCACACGTGGATACGGATACTATACAGGGCCTACTTAGTTGTGGCAATCTGTTCAGACAGTCCAAAATGAGGGCGTGTGCGGACAAATGGATCAACCACTACCTGCTGCTCTTCAAACGCGTAATCGGAGGAGATCTTTCAACCCTCTCAGTCCACGCTATGCATCGATCGATGACCATCATGGAGGCGATATTCTATGTGGCTGAAATAAGTGAAGCACTCATTTGGCTGCACAGCATTGGAATAGTTCATCAGGACCTGAAACCCGATAACGTTCTGATCCAGGCTGATGGACATATTATTCTAACAGACTTTGGTCTGGCCTGTGTGGTTCCCAACGGGCCTGGTTCCACCTACTTAGGGAATATCGTGTGCAAAAGTATGCACATGCCCCCGGAAATTGTCACCCATCGTCCAGGAAGCGTACTGGTTTGGCATGCGGTTGACTGGTACAGCTTGGGTGTACTTTTGTACAGACTGCTGCATTCGGGTAGATTCCCCAAATTTGTTGGACCTGGAGTTTCTCGAAGGCTTATCTGGGATTCATCCTGTCTGGATCTACCGTGGGAGAGTCGAAATCTCATCTCCGACTTACTACAGTTTGATCCTACTAGACGATTGGGAGGAGACCGCAGAATTGGTGGTCTTGCAGTCTTGAGACATCCAGGATTTATTTATCCGCTGCTTGGGGCTCGACCGAGCGACTATGACCAGGAACTAATCCACTACCAACCGTCAACAGGGGACAACTTACCAGTTGATTTGCGTCGGGGATTGATCGAATCTGCTGCCATACCAGGCTTACTATGCACTCCACGAATCACTGGACGTCGAGAAAACACAAGAAAAAAGGAGCATGAATTAGGTTGGCTGGATTATCTCCGTGAGGAAATTTCGGCCAAGCGCTTAATACCGCCTTTTAAACCTTGGAACAATGGTTCGATACACCCGTGACCTCCTAGTGACCGATGCCCTCACTCACAAAACGAATTACTCGAGAAAGCTCCGTAAGTCATTCCAGGTTTAGTTTCTTAAAGTGGAAGAATGTGATGTCATTAAACAATCTGTGTCAGGAATTCATATGCCGCTCCATCTCTTTTAAATAGCAGCTATTCTAACTCATCGAATCTGGTGGTCTAGGAATTCGCATCAGTGGCACCATCGTGAGGAATCGTACCAAAAAAGCCTTGGAACATCATCCGAGTAGAGAAAATATTTTATATCTAAATTACATAGAGTGAAACCTTGCTAGTATTGTTTTATATTCAGTTACGTTAAAATCGCCCGACAAAAATAGACGAACTGGGATTAATCTTATTGTTCGTGGTATCGATTTAGCTAAAAGACTTAATTAGAATACCTCCCGGTTGTCCTAACCTAAGAGGGACAAATTAGAGGGGCCACGTGAAACATTTGATGGGAGAAACCTAAACCATGAGCCAGCATGGAAAAGCATGCAGTTCGAAATCCTGTGTGGGTCGATAAATGTGGCTGAATCGGAAGACCTTCGTGTTGAGGCTGACAACAATGACTGCCAGTAATCCATAATTTCGTCCATGTGATTCTGTTATCAGGTGGTTGGAAACCCTGAAGCAGTTGGGACGTAACCGATCTCACTGGCGCGAATGTTGTAATTTCATAACCATACTACCTAGCTAAAGTTCGTTTGTTGTTCCTTGCTGAGCTTGTGCCGAGTGAGGGTCGCCCAAGACTCTTGGTCAGTCCAGCTAATGGCGTGACCAGATTTGTTTAGTCCACTACTGTCCAAAGGAGTCAGCACCCTAATCTTGACGGTTCTCTTGAGGTAATGAGGTCTTTCCGCACTAAGTTTCTACACCCATCTTTTCTTTACACTCTTTACTAAGCCTTCGTTCCCTCAAGCTTTTATAACAGCCAAGCATGACTGGTGTATTGCTGTCAACAATGTTGAATCCCGTTATCAATATGTATTTTGCCTAGAGCCAGGACTACTTAAAACAACATTGATTGGTGCTTTGAAATCATTGAATGGTGAACTTCCTAGGCAGATGGTGAATAGCTTTCGACTAACCAAGAAGCCAGACACCCACCAGCGTCCCACACTCATGTAGAAACACCTATTCCACATGCACATAGAACGGAACAGACAGACAGCTTCCATTACATGGAAGGACCGGAAGACGAAATTGGTATCATTCGCCATCAGCCTCTTTGAGGCAGTTGCTTCATGTCAAATAGTCCTGTTGATATTTTTGTCGATACCCAAATTTCTTTAATACTGGATTACACGTCCAAAAGAAATGTGTAACCACACAGATTTTGTAATCATCAAGCTAGTTAATGGAAAGCTTCCCAGCATTTAACCTCCTGGGATTGTGTGGAAAAAACTTCTTTCTGTAGTGGGGGTGTGAACGAGCAACACTGTGAAGCATCAATGGATTGTGTCTTACCAGCTGATGACATTCCACTCGTCTGAAGATTCTCACCACCAGAAGACATGCAAGCCAAGCTGGTCAAGCACAACTGCCCCAAATTTATTTAGGAAATTAGATCCATTCAGCAGAATGGTGAATAATTTCAGCAAATTTAGAACAACAACAAAACATTGGAGGTCCTCGGGTGTTGGTCAGGATGATGATGATGATGATGATATGATGATGATGATGAATGATGATGAGACAATTGGGCGTAAGGGACCTCGGATTACTTGCTGAACGAATCTAACCCTTCAGCGTAAACTAATCGATCATTCTTATATTCGTGGCGCCTATTCAATAACGCACAACCGCTGATCACATGAGAGGGGATGTGCTAGCTGGACACGGGGACCGGGCTACAATGGTTCCGATATGCCTCAACTATACGACATCTGGCAGATTCTCTTTTACATCGTTTTGCGCTTAATACCCTGCCCTATATTGAAGACCGCGAAACAACCTACCAAACTTTCCGACTCACTTTATTTCGTTGCAATATATGGGTTTCTTATCCCTGAATCGCCATGTGACTCCGTTAGTTTTTACCACCAACCAGGGCTCAACTGTTACCTGCGAATTGACTCATATGAACTTTTACTTTACTGACAGTACAGCCAAAGAAGAAAAATCAGATCGTGAATAGCGTAATCGCGACAATCCCGGCCTCTGGTCTCTGATGCATCACTAGGTCGTTGACTTGTTCGCTGAGCTGGGCAATTTGGTTGCAAACGTTTCATCACCAATCGATGTGACATCATCAGTGCGTAGTTGTGTGTAGCGGTGGGTTAGTGGTTGTGCACAACCATCTACGCTACCTGAGCTACCGACATTCTCCTCTATAGCTTCACTAGGTATAGTAACGTTTCAAACTGCCTCAGGATGTGTAATAGCCCTTCAGGTGGCTTGTGTGTACCAAATGTGAAAATTTGGATAGCCGAGGCTGAACGGTATCGGAAATAATCACGTGAAAACGCCTTCCTTTAGCGTTTCGTAAGCTTTATGTCATCTGAGCACAAAAAAGGTGAATCACACTTGCCTTCATTGCTTATCTCCAACAAACGTGTAATAGCGTTTCAAAGCTTAAGGCAAAAAAATAGAATCAACATACGCTCTGAAAAATGTCGTTTGCCGGACATTCTGGAAGTTCTACGGGGTGAAATATGATGCAGTTGAGTTGGGTTATACAGTTCCCCATAATTGAAGCTGTTTTATTCTTTTTTGACTGCCCTAGTATGTAGCCTTTTTCTAGTGCGATCCGCGGCAGTAGAGTTTTCTTCGTTCATAGGCTCACAAAAACTAATGTTCCTGATTACATTCGCACCAATGCATCGACTACTGAAGAAAGCCCTAATGAAAATTTCATCCTGCAAGTGAAGCCAGTGTATTCTGGAAAGCCTAGAAGTGCTGTACGCTTGTTTATATTCTTACATTTCATCGACAGTGCGTGTTGCATGAAACACCAGGTTGTCTTGAGCTCACGAATTTTCGGCTAGTAATCTGAACACTTAACTGTTTGACTACCAGCGGTTAACCAGCCATGTGGTAAACTCGTTATTAGACAGGGGAGTGCTGCTCATCCTTCAGTCACTTGAGCCACATCACGTGGTCATATGTTGACTGGTCCATCGAATGACTAGTTCTCAACCGGAACTTCCATTGATTGGGAGAATTTTGTCCCCCCTCGAGCTACTACTTGGAGATTGTTAGTAGCGTGGGGAGATCTCGGAATTTTATTAGAGATTTCGTCTTTCAAGTGCATATCGAGTTTTCAGCCTCACTAAAAGACGGAATGTCGATGAGAAATAAAAAAAATTTCCTCCCGTTACGAACAACGAATATTGTTATCTTTTCTGGATCTCGTAGTACTCAATTTTAAGAGCTAGGAAAATCGTTGCTGCGTTGCAGTTTTGCGCTTGTTACGATCTGTATCCATTTGGCCAGTGTTCACTCTGTGTACCTACCTCCATGGTAGAAGAGAGCTAAAGAGTTCATTTGCACTGCACATATATAGCTCCGTTCAGCCTCAGAAATATCCCGGCACATACCTCCGCTACATCTTTCTCCTGGCCCTGACGAGCTCCCACCAGCTCTGTTCGAGGACGGCGACTGATGCCTTGGTCAGTGCCTGTCTAGCCCGTTTGAGTCTATCTGGGAGAAATTGGCTGTCACAGACGATCGAATGAGTCGATAATGGTACCCATTTTTAAAAAATTACTCATATTGAATGTTTGAGTTTTAGTTTGACTCCCGTTGTAACAAAGCTTCTGGCTTCCCGATTCTTCAGCGTCTTACGGCGGCACACGAATCCCACAGCCCTGAGCATTAAACGGGATTTAGATTAGGTAGAGGCTGCGTCGACCACATCTTCACACCCGGTCAAGTGTTAGAGCAACACCGTATGCACAGAGGACCCACAATTTCGGTGTTCTTTGACTTCAAGTCTGCATTCGATTCCGTCGATCTGCCAGTGCCGTTGACCATGGACATAATCCGATATCCATATTCGCATACTTTTGGCCTTGTGATAGCGCATTGTGAGCCATATAAAAGCATTTCTAGAAAATATGGGTTTCGATGAGAATTTCCACCCTATCCGTTCTTATTCAACTTCGTCATTGGTGAAATAATGAGGCGAACGCTAGAACTTCTTCGTTCGTTGCTGGTGCGGACCTTATCTATCTGGTTTCCTCTTCTTTGAAGATGGAGGCGAAGCACAAGCCCTTTGAATGAACTGACTACTATAACGCTGTCTTTCTGAATGCGCCTTGCAAACCTAATGTGCGAATTTATGCTCCAGAATGCACAGGCTCTGGAGGAGAATCATTGGAGGGTATGGGGCATTTTACCTTCCTCATTAGTTGTAATAAATCTGACGGGAGTTTGTGGTCAGTTCACGAATCTCGAAAGCCAGAATCATGTTCGCTAATATGCGTCACTCACGATGTCAAAACGGCGTATCACTGGGTCTCAAAGGTCGCCTGTACAAGGATACAGTAAGGGCGAAACATATCTTCTGTGAACAAATGACGTGAGGCCCATTCACGTTTTTTATCACCGATGTCTCTGGTGCTTTACTGATGTCCTGTGGCGTCGTAGAACCCGTAAATTAGTCATTAGAAACGTGCAGCAGTTACTTCTGTTGCGGAAAATATCTAGCATCATCAACTGCGGTGGGTCGGACATTTGATATACATGCCGAAGCACCGCTTCTCGAGACGAGTGTTGTCCTGGATGCCTTCTTCACAATGATGCAAATCACGAGCTGGACAACAAATGACTTGGCAGAAGGGAGTGAAAGAGTTCACGAGGAGTTTGGTTTGCAATACGCCTTCCAGAACGGTGTCCCTGTGATAACCCTTTGCTAGCGGCTTAAGAGATAACGACTGGCTTTCTCGCTGCCAGTTCCTTTCCAGACTGCCTGATTGAACGAATGGAGTTGTAGACGCCTCAGAATTCTTACAACAATTCAGGGCCAAGCCCCGTCACCCACTCTTTTCTCCTTATCCTAAAGCTTTGAATGTAATTAGATAAATTTTGTGGTTGTACGGCAATGAAGCATCATAGCCAACACTGACCTTGTTGTCTCTGCACCTTTTTGACGCTATCCTGTGGATGTACACCGAAAACTGTCGCAAATTTTTAAAATCATGTTGGAGACTTTTGATTAATGCGTTAAATGTGGGAGACATTGACGTTAGAGCGCTTTACCATCATTGATATTAATTTACCCACTATGTACCCGACTGATATCTTGAAGGGCACATTTCCTGTACAATCAGCATGCCTAAAAGTTTTTCGATTGATCTGCTGTGGATTCGTTTGCCCAGAATCAGATGATACGCAGGCACATACGACCTTTAATGTCTTCATGAATATCGGAACCCACATTGTGGTGGAATATTCGTTCAGAAGCGTCTTAAAATCAGGTGGATTCATTCATTTAGATAACCCACTTTAGGTTAAAACAAAAACTTTATGGGATAAGGAAGAAAATCTAGGTTTAGACTACCCATATGCACCGGTTAAATAACTCCCTGCATTTATTCTTCTGATTCGAAATAGCCTACTTACCCAACCGAATTGCTGACTTGGTTGCGTTCAGGAGAATGATTGGTCTATTTCAGACAATTCGACGTGCCGTAGATTCAAAGTTTTGGCCAGAAATCTTATGTCAGGCGAAACAGTAAAGTACATCTTGTTTCTACCTCAGATATTCAGAACCATTCCACAAACATACGGCTCACCGCGTCTACTTATCCCCCAAAAAGAACAGCTCGCTTTCAAAAAGGTGTCTCTTGTGACCGAGGGTCTGTGCTCCACAGGAGAGCACTGTACATCGCAGTACGCTACGGCAGATACATATCATCTTCTATGAATGATGTTCTGTTTCAACTGATAATAGAAAACAAACTCAAGTGGGATAGTTATCTGGAAGTCACTAACCCTTACCCGTTTCCATGACGTTGCGGTTGCTTGAAGTTTCCTCGACCTGGATGGATAAGGTTCAGTCTGTCCCCCGCGAGGATTGGCGTATTTTGTGTTTTCATTAGAAGACATCAACAGTTTTCCAATTGAACTTTCTCGACAGCAGTGTATAAGGAAGTGACAAAGTTCTCTGTTACACATGACCACGTGACTTGATTACCCACTTATTAAAGTGATGTCTGTCACGATCGGATACACAGGTTGTTTAGGCTTGGTTACTAGATCGCTATGACCGTTCAGCATAGCAGTGAGCTACATCAGCAAGCAAAGAGAAAATCACTCTAGCTTGGATCGGGAGGGTAGAACAGGAATCCGTTGGCCAACTTTATTTGGATCAAAGAGATTCGACGTCATCATACATGCATACATACATACATCATCCACAGTAAACTGCTGAAGACACCACAAGGAAACGGGTGGCTTGGTCTTTTCTTAGTTTTCTAGTTTGTCATGGCTGCAGCAGAGCAAATTTGTCAAATCTGTAAACTGTCTTTCTTAAAAAGGATTACTGTAGTATTAATTTCCACATATCAGTATACTTGCGTCGTCTAGGAGGCTTTGAGATTCGACTCATCATACATGCATACATACATACATCATCCACAGTAAACTGCTGAAGACACCACAAGGAAACGGGTGGCTTGGTCTTTTCTTAGTTTTCTAGTTTGTCATGGCTGCAGCAGAGCAAATTTGTCAAATCTGTAAACTGTCTTTCTTAAAAAGGATTACTGTAGTATTAATTTCCACATATCAGTATACTTGCGTCGTCTAGGAGGCTTTTCTCAAATTTAAGAGTTTTATGCTTATCAAAATTTACCGTCTTGACGGCTTGAAAATCTACCCTGAATTACTCCACTAAGATTTTTATTCTGATTTCCTTTCAGGTGCGATATACCCGTGGATTCCGTGCTGAGAATAAGTGGAACGTTTTACCTGTTTTATTTCCAACGTATATGTCATAAAAATAGCTGTGATTCACTTTTTATGGAGATGCAAACAAAGATCAGATTTTATGTCATGGTATCCACTGTTTGGAAGAATTATCTTTGGGATTCGCTCAAGTGAAGGTATCGCTTAGTTGTAGATTGGGTCGATGAAAACTCCGAAAAGACCACCATATTCGCCGTCGTTCATAAAGCTAACAAGGTAGACATTTCCATCGATTTCATGTGTGAAGGCCAAATTGTGCGTGTGTTGCGGTAAATATTTATGCACTTTTGAACTCAGTAGTGACGTAATGGAATTTCGTCGGAATATCTGGTTTTAGATATTTTCCCTTCACTTTTTGACCACCATAGATTTGTACAGTTATTTTGAAAACAACGCTACCTGACAATATTCCGTGAAGGATAGTGAGGTACGCAAGATTCAAGAAGGGTAGTCCACCAGTAGATTCCACTCCAGTCTCCTGACTGGACAGACCATAGTACGAACCATCTTCCCCTTGATACTTTGGGCTTTGTTGCGATGCTCTTTGTTTTCAAGGTGGCTTGCAACCTGCGCGTAAACAAACTTCAAACCACTTTCCTGCAATCTGCTGTGATGTACAGCGAGACAGAGACTTGTCTGTTTATTGGCAACTGACGTTACAGCACAGGTTTGGTGGCTCGCATAATCTACGACGACTACTCACCGATCAAATAAAACCCAACCCATTACATCCCTACATAAAACACTATTCGCAATGTTGCTGAGCACTCCTCAGCACTTAGGCGGAACATTCAGTTGAAGGGAATCACAAAAGTGGGCCTCAGTTGGAGCCTCATGTGTGTATCAGCTTACTTTGCTACTGAGTTTATTATCCCAATTCATTTTCATAGCATGTTCGAGGCCATAAAAGGAATCCTATAAATCAAGAAAGCTTTGATCTACATTGTGAGTAATGTGACTCCACCGAATATTACCCTTCGTAGCTTAGTATGGGAATTTACTAGCAGTGAGAATTTTCGCTGCCAAAAAAGTTTGGCTATGTTTCTTTCTTTGTTTCTCGAGGCGGTCGCGTGTGTGTTTCCAAATATTGAAATATTGCCCAATAAGACTCTGGTCAGAGTCGGACAATCACTGCTTCGCTGCACCGGTCTTGGTAACCTGACACTCCGGCTGCTTGCTTCCTAAGGATCTCTTGACGGATATGCACCATAAGTGGGATGTGATGCCTCAGAAGGGTTCGTGGTATGAAGTTTTTCCTCAGTTCATGAGTCCTATGTGCAATTCAATATTACTGTTATTTACCTCATTCAATTGCGGCCACCTGCCACTAGGACATGAGTAATCTCCGTTGATATTGAGCACCATATTGTTCAGGAATGGCGATCAGTTGAATAGGTCTTGGAAATTTTGAGAAAAAAACTGCGGAATCGTTCGAGAAAAACTTTAAATGCTACATTTTTATTTAGTTGGCTTCCTAATGAACACCGTGACAAAATTACAGGACCATTCATTTCCTTCGCCATAACCACTAAAGGATTGATTAAAACGACTTTTGTGAACAGATGACGAACACCACCGGAAGCGAAACCCAGGATTCATAAAACCGTATCTCAGAGGATGGTAGGTGAAGCCAGAAAATTTTAAATTTAGTGCGACAAAAGTAAATGACCTCGGTGGATCAGAATTGTGTTCATTAGTGAATTCCGGTCTTTCCTGTAAGACTCTACGGTAATTCTTGTGGGCATCAGAATGACATAAGCTCCGATCAGCCACCTGCTCGGTCTTGGAACCACGGACTTTTGCAACTTTTTACACAATATACATGCATTTAATTTCAGACAGAGACCAAGACTAAGCTATTCGGTCCACTTGTATCGCTTGACAGGACATAAAAGAGCCTTAATGGAGTAGAAGTGCTAACTGATGTTTTGCTTGCAGACTCTGGAGAGAAGGAACGGCAACAGCGAATTTTCTAGAATGCTGATGTGCGCATGGAGTGTGTCGTACTTATTTACTCGCTACGCAGGCTTAACATTTCCCGATAGCGATTGATTTTTTTCTGCATGCTGGTTAAAAATCCATAGTTCCAAGAGCGTGGGCCGTCTGTAAACGCTTTGCTCAATATCACTGGTGATGACAGCTCCAGGTGAGAGTATATTTCGATCCAGATCCGCTCCAGGGTCACTGTAACTTTTCGACTTCCACTTTAGCTTCTGGTGGTTCAGATGACACCACACGTTGTGCTTGTGTGAATTTCAAATTCACCCAATTTGTGGGCCTAACCAGCTAGCATTACTGAATGGTGTGTAAGATCCTCGCTTTGGGCTACCGGAATGGCCATTGTTGTAGGAGAGTGAAGCAAGCACCCACAGTTCTCACTTCATCAGGAGATGGGTTCTTTGGCGTCACATGACGAAATTAGGATGAATAATTTCGAATCAGTATCAATTTATCAGCTGCAGACCATATAGCATGTGTACACTGGTTCCAGCTGCTAAAGATTCACTCCCCGGATAGGGCGAGTTTGTGGTTGATACAGCTAGGCCTTGGAGGCGATAGTATGTTCGGCTAGTTCGGAAACTGGGTAGCTATGTATTGAAAGCGATAACTTTGATGCATGTGTGCCATTAACGCCCAGTGGGGCTACTCATATCAGTGCATTAACCACTGGTCAGTCAAGTCTCGAGGTCCCCACCCAAGGAGGTGGCAGTTGTCGGCCCGAATCAGATTGCTGGTTGGTGTTTTCATACATCTTTGCCAGATCATACACTGTCCACCTATCCGTTGACTCCGCTTAGCAGAGGCCTGGGTGAAAGACCTCTGAGAGTCAGACGGTCTTCTAACACGTAGGGTGAATGTGCTAACAAGCGTCACCTATGAAGCCTAAGTAATTCATTTGTACGCGAGTTGTTTTTTCCTAAGACCATCTGGTGTGCCCCAAAATTTTCGATGTTCCGCCAGGCCTGACAAATCCTTCGGAGACCCCGACAGTCAAACACTGACAGCTTTCTCATGCTCTCTGCGAACTGCCCTTAAAAGACACAGGCATCACATTGGTTTAATAGATATCGGTTGGTAAAAGCTGCCCTGGCCTTCCCCATCTCATCTTACCCAGAGCACCGGAACTTATACAACTGTCCAGGTAAACAAATTTATCTACCACGTTGAGCAACTCATCTGTAAGCATGAGGTTTGGGTTTCATCTGACCGAGTCTTGTAGCAGCCCTTTACACTTATCATGTGTGAAACTCAAGGCAAACCGTGCGGCACAGCTATTCAGGCTATTTAAAATGGTTTGCATTTGGGAGGGATCTGAATCAAATAGAAGAATATCGTCCACATACTCGCTGTTTATTACCGAACATTCCGGGTGCATTTCGACTCCCGAGGTTTTAGAGGCAGGCAGAGAAATTCCAAGCAGTATATCATTGACAAAGTTGGAGAAAAAAAGGTAAAAAAGAGCAGCCTTGTCTTACATCACTTGTGCTGAACTCAGGCAAAAGCTCCCCGTATACTCGTACGCGCCTACAGGAATTCGCAAAGTGACCTCATGAGGGATATAAATTTGAAAGAGATACTGCCAAATATTCTGGCGACCGATAGAATCAAAAGCGGCATTAAGATTAAAGTGGCACTGTTAAAGAAATTGTCTCAAGCTAAAGATATGGTCGATGATTCTCCAGCCAGGGTGAAATTCATCTCGGTTCTCACAAACCTGTTTCTCGAGATAATCGATCAACTTGTACAAAATGATGCCAGAGAGCATTTTGGATGCCACGGCTTCTAGACAGTATGCGCATGAAGTTCTTATGGTCTTTTTGAAGAGTGAGATAATACTCGAGGAGCTGAATTCCACTGGTATTCTGTTTTCTTTCCTAGCCTTCTGCATTATGGATGTCAGACTGTTCACCGCGACCTCACCACCTCCTTTGAAGGGTGCGGCGTTCAGACTATCCGGGTCAGGTGCCTCGTCATGTTGAAGAATTGATAAATCACCCCTCATTTCCGTTGTTGACGGTGCATATAGTTTCGCTGACAATCGTCTTTTGTTGACCCGTTGATCTAATCAGCCGAAATATCGCACCGTTTTTGCCTGCAGCAAAAGCCTTCTCCATATCATGTGTTTTCGAAATCCACCGGCGTTCTCAGTGATTCTTCAATCTCCTGATTTTTCGGTGTTTGAGGGATCCGCGTGCGCCAGAACAGTCGACAGTTGCTGGTATGTTCTCTCCGGTAGCAATGAGACCTTCTGATCTCGATGAAATCTAGTGTTCATTCTGTCGAGTCAAATGGTTTGGACAGACAATTCTGAAAACTGGGAGCATAGTTTCTGTAACTCGCTTCCAATCAACCTCCAAGCATCTTCGTCATCCGGTGTGTGTCCGGTAGCTTTTTGGCCAGATTAGCTCGCTACTCTTGAGCCACTGAAACTTGTCGAGGTTGATCAATGGAGTTGTTCTGCTTCTTAACGCGAAATGCTCACAGAAAACGAAGTGAGGACCGGGTCCTCATAGTGGCATGATCAGAATTAAGTTGCGCACCCCATAAGGAAAGACAACCTTTAACTAAGGCTCGTCATAGATGATTGATAGCCTGATGGTCAAATTCAGTCCAAAACTATCTTGCAGTCGGTGGCCTCCAAATAACCCGATGTAAGTCGTCGTCCAACTTGAGCATTCATATCATTCACCAGAACCACTTTAATCGTCCTTGTTGGCCGACGCAGTCGCGACAAATGTCGATAAAACCCGTCCTTTTCAGTCTCAGAATAGAAGTCTGTCAGGGCGTATGCTGGTGAAAATAACAAACACTGTTTACCTCATCGACTTTCATTGATTTTGATTGAGATAGACAACCGCACAGCGCAAAGACGGCTGTTTACTGAGATCCAGTCTAATTAAACACTTTCAGTCATGGGGATCAGTGCAACACACAGACCACAGACACTGCAAGCTGTTGTATTGGGATCGACTTTCATGATTTTGATTGAGATAGACAACCGCACAGCGCAAAGACGGCTGTTTACTGAGATCCAGTCTAATTAAACACTTTCAGTCATGGGGATCAGTGCAACACACAGACCACAGACACTGCAAGCTGTTGTATTGGGATCACCGGATACCCAAAGATTGAAGTGTGACATCTGAGCTCGTCAAAATCGTCCTGAAGTGCACGACCTAATCGGCGCTTCGTATGCAAGTTTCAGAGACACAAGATACATCGATAGAGAGGGAAATCAAAGTTTCTGCAACAGATGCTCGTTGCCAAACGGGACAGAGAGTGCAGACATCGAAGGCTGCAATGTGGATTAGAAGTTTTGAAATTAGTAAGTGATTACTTTGTTTTAGTTTTCCGGCCAATAGCTTAGATACGGTGCAATCGCTAGGGGACTGACAGTGATCATCATCAATGCAACACTGGATGGGTGTGGGTGAGGACCGGTGAGCGAAGAACAGCAGGGGCAAATGACACTTCTTGGTTGCTCAAGCCGAACGGCTTTTATTTTTGAGGTACCTCATCTTGAGCCTTTGACTCAAACGTTTGACTCACAAGGCAGTGGGAGGATGTGGGCTTTTGCTACAGGACCCTGCCTCCAGCTTCTGCCTCAAACGTTTGAACCGTGAGGTGGTTGCAGTCAGGGTTCTCTTTGGGGAACCTACCCGGAGTCAATGATACAATGATATGACACATTTGGAAGCATGGTACGGCCTCGCCCGAATGAGCATAGAGTAACGCATTGCTGTCTCTGCTCCAGTGCGGCTGCTCATAGCAGGCACTTTTAGGAAGTACCAGACTCTTTGGTTTCAAGTTTTTTTACTGTGTTGAATAATGCGCTAATGGTCACGGTTAACCGTAGAGTGATTGAAGTGTGAGAATCTTAGAGCCGACTATATCTAACCAGTTCTTCTTCAGAGAAATGCAACATCACCACTTCCATAAATATGGACATGCTATTGGCCTGAAGAAAACGCCTGACTGTCTTCACAATCCCATCGCAGAGGACTGTACGAAGTTACCTCCAGACCACCTCATGATACGATTTCTCGCAGTACGCAGACTCGATCTTCTTCATCGGCCTGCTCACTGCTGGCTTCCTCGGCGTGACTGGACTTAATGGAATTGAGTTCCAGCCAATTTACCCCACAGGGTCTTTTCAGTTGTGAAAGCAGGCCATCGCGCAAGTTGACTACTTTAGGTAGAGAATCAAACTGGATAACTGGCAGTCCTAATCTCAGCCCGACTGAGAACGCACACCAGTTACACAAGGCTGCGATGTTCTGTGATTTGAAAACGAAGCAGGTGGTTGGTATACGTAAAATATCACACAAACAGGCGTCTCAGGGTTACGTCGCTTTGAAGGCGAAGTAACCAGAACCCATAATCGAAAATTATCCAGATAAGACGGTGCCCTGCGACGGCGTGAAGTTTTATCGTCTCTGTCCGCTGACCTTACGTCACTTCGATTGTGAACCACCCTCGTGAGACATGGATCTTGCATTGATTACCCGCATAGCTAAACCGTTACAATCCATCCATCAATAGGTGGTCCTATAATTCGGTCCTGAACTGCATGAATGTATTGTGCAACCCACAGAAGTCTCGGCTGTTACATGGAAGAAAAACTTCATGAGTCACTCGTTGGGTTGAACATCACTTGCGGTTCGGTTTTCATCATTTTCCAGGACATCCGCTCACGACCGCTGATAGAGGGAACCAGCCATATCTTCGTAACCATCATATCAGAACAACTGAAAAATCTTATCGGTTTATTTCACATGATATGACTCGATCTCGGCAACCTACTACCGGATTCGATCCTTTTGAGACTCACCAGGTTTCTATTATACTTGAATGCCAGATTGTACGAGTGTACCCATTAACACCCACTGGTGACAACTGGAAAATTAAATGAAATTAAACAGAATTGTTCTTTCGTGAAGGTGTCAGCTTCTCTTGCGTTTAAGTATTCCCAAGGTTAGCTTTCGAATTTTACAACGTGACCTTAACTCATCTCTCCGGGAGTGACTGACGTTACTCGCACTTAGATTTACCCGGCTACGATTGTGCTGTACGCTGAACTGCGTAGCATTCATCGACCTCTAACAGAGACACCAGACTAATCCACTCGAACGTAGCAAGTAGCATTTAACCAAGTTTCAGGTTGACGATGGCATCATTCAAACAAGAGCAGTGTCTTATGTAGACAAGCATGCAGTGTACTTGGAACTCACAGATAGTTGAAGGAATACTTGCATCCTGGTTCTAGCAGCATTTGGGCAACCGTTCTTCAACAATGGCATGAATATTCCACGGATGAATCAGCCACAGGACAGGACAAACTGTCGGCTAACCAACCCTTACAACCCACAGGAAACTCCGCAAGACAATCTTCTTTCAAGTTGATTGCTTCCTTTCGAAAACAATGTACAATATTGCTACTACATTCAATACTTCCAACCCCATGTATTTTTGTTACCTTTCCCATAAACGTCCTTAAATAGGGGGACCGGAGAATACGAATCCATTTATTTTTTCGAAATCAATACTGAGTCGTATAACGCAAGGCCCTTACCCGGGGAAATACACAACCATCAGTCCCTTTACCTTCCGATGAACGGCTAGATACTTAGGCTATCCATAACGGTAGACATTGGGCGAGTATTATGTTCGGAAGATGAATGGTTTCCGAAGCGGGTTTAGGCGAATTCCGCAATAAAACTTTCATTTTTGTGCTAGTAAGGCCATAATTAAGCCTCATGCGGGTAGTTTAATGAACATCTGTCCGAAAAGAAGACGCATTGACTCAGTGTGTATGGTCTCTCATCCAAATAACTCAAGGATAGGTGTGTTTGGTAAGCTACTGTACTTGTAAGCGCAGCACCGAACGAACTTTCTAATAGTAAAATGGAAATCAACGTTGGAGGTCATTTCTGTGCACGACTACGGCGTATATCCAGCAGGCGATCCAACGAAGCGAAGGATACAGCCATGTTTGTTATCCCCATTGGGACTGAAGGGATTGAAGTAATCACGTACCTCTTGACTGTACAAATCAATGCACACAGATACCACCGTCGTATAAATGAAAGTCCGTTTTGTGGGAACCTAAGCCCATCACTCCTGCGCTGAATTCGAGTGACCGGTTACATTCACTTTAGCTACTCGCTAGCTGAAAAATCCCACAAATTCCTAGCCATCAAATACGTCTCAACGCGTTGCTCTCATACTCAGTCGTCGAGAGTTTGTCCATGAATTCAAATACAGCATCCCGAACTGCTCCTAAAACAGAACTCGAACGAAATAAGGTCGAGTAGTCACTGACGCACGACTGCTACAGAACGCTTTCAAGAGCTCCCCCAAAAACGAGAACACTGGGGACTGTGATAACACTAGCTAACCCGACGGATGATTTAGACCGCTTTTAGGCTTACAGACTATAGATTACTCGATGTTTTAGCTGGGAACACATGGTCCCGTCATCTCATACTGATACTGCGCGTGGTTTTCAGGTAGATACAATCTTGCGCATGATTGGCCTAGGGTGGCTATTGTCACCCTCAACTGTCGACACTGACGTTGAACATATTCTGGACCGTACACGTTCTGTCCAATTGGGCAGTGTTCCATGCCTCACGTCTGAGATGCAATCCGGGATGCTGTGATGAGGCATTGGAGTAGTCTGTGGTCTTTTCGAAGCTCCGCCCGGCGTCTAATGGAGGGTGAAGTTTAGTACGGAACTTGTGGAATCGCTTTGCAGTGTTCGTTTGCAATATCCATGAAGTTTCAGGTGGATGCGTGAAAATGTTCCAATTTTAAAGAATATGTGCATATGAGACGTTCGCCTGTTTGCTTTCCTCCTTACACTTGTGTATGTAGTGTACCCCAGATCTCACCTAAGGTAGAGTCATTTTCTGCGGAGCATTGGAAAGTACACAGAACGTTTCCCATTCCGTGGTGTTACGTCACTGTGTAAACAAAACGTGATGAAAAATGGAAAAGCTCCGCTATTTTGGATGGAGAAAAAATGCTCTCCACTGCATTCATGAAAACGGTCTGCGTCAGGAATAATTCACCAGATCGGATGAGGTCATATGTACAAATTGGAAAGCAAAACCATAAAAAAGGCAAAAGATGATATGAATGCGTCACGAACCAAAGCAATCGGATGAAAATATGAGTGAGTGGAGAAAATCAAGTACTAGAAGCAGTGATAATCTGGCGAAGAGACTGGATGGACCACTGATTAACAGGACTAGCAAACCGGTATCAAAAGATGGGCCGGTCAGGCCAGCTCCTTGCTTAGTCGATTCGCGTTTGCTGTCGTGAGTGGTTGAGGAAAATCGATGCTGCAAAATTTGGCTAGGAATTCATCGAATTCTTTGAGAATTTTCTCGTGTCGTTCCAGTTCCTCAGTCAGAGCATCCGCGTCGAACAAAGAAGACTGGGCCTGTGCATTACCACCGGTGACCGGTGTGTTCCCACTAGATGGCACTTTGAACAGATCAAGATTGGTGCGCTGGCGCAGCTCAACGAACAGTTGAGTCCAGTGCTCTCCACTTACACCGACTGTACTGAACGGTAGCTGCAAAGGGACATTCCGACTCTCATCCTCAGGCGTTGTTGCATGGCAGTCATCCCCGCCGTTTAGCTCCTCTTCCTTCGGCGGATCTTTTGGATACATTGTTTCGCTCATGTCCGTATCCTCACCTGCGTCGGAATTCCCGTCCAATTCATTAGAATGGTGATCCAGAGGGTCATCCTCTTCATCGTCATCCACATCGGGCCAGTTGGGGTCCATGAAATCATGAGGGTGCTTGAAAAGAATAAAAACGCCCGAATATATGGTCAGTAAAAGAACGAACATGACGGCTCGAATAATATCCAAACAACCCTCAGATTCACAGTTTGCGGCATCACGACCGAACTGGCACCGAAAATGCCGTACTGGTCGCGTACGATACCTGTTCTGAATCATCACAAGGGAGACAAACTAGAGTAGATAAAGCATTGCATCTGTATATGAATTTTGGCTATCAGTGCACGATAGAACATTTTCGTATCCTTCCAACCGTTGATATCCATCTTCGCAATATAGTGCACTATGCTTTGGTGCGGTCTATTTATACTAGTAAAACATTGATGACTAACAAACTCACGAATATGGTGAACAGGGATGAATTTTTCCCCACCCCCCAGAATAGAACACAGTTAGTCGGTCCAATGTGTACTCCAATGACAAAATGGTCCACGGAAGGGATCAAAGTTAGTCCGTCCTTTTAGGATGGACTGTATGAACTTCAGGGAAAAACACGGATGCTGTTCTCTTTTGAAGAGAACGGACTGAGACGAAACAGTCGCAGTTCATTTCAGAAAGGGACCGATGAAAATTGTTAATGAAAGCGCGAACACATTTTCTAGCAAACATACTATAGTACATACATGTCTTCGGGTGTCATGTGGTTTGTACAGTTGTCCAATCTGTATGTGATCCTCCATTTAAAGACTATCTCTCAATAACGACACTTTTTCGATCCATATATATATATATATATATATGAGATGCCATATGAAAAAGTGCCAAAGAATACCACTTTTGGTATGATATTTCTAAATAATAGCTCTGCTGCTGGTGATGCTGGCCAATGTTATGGTTTTACCGACAGCATATATATATATATATATATATATATATATATAGAGAGAGAGAGAGAGAGAGAGAGAAAAGTTACCCAAGGAGCTGAGTTTTCACTCAGCTAGACAAAAATAGATAATCGATGCGTAAAGTATTGCCTATGTGCTTCGCCAACGATGACTAGCCTCCCTGGAGTTCACACTCAACAGCAATATGTTTCGGATGCTGTTCTCACGGTCGAGTGCCAACTTATGGTTTCTCTTTTACCCTTCTGTTGTGATAATGTGTGTTGTATTTCACGTTTAACTGTTTAGTAATTGCTATCCTGATATTGCTCAATATATTCTCTATGTGAAATGACTGTACCTTATGGCAGCACACAAGTCTGCGAACCTGAGTAACCCACTAAATTATAGTGGAGAATATCAATGCAATATCCAGTCTCTGCTACCACGCCGGACAATGGATAGAAATCTGACAAGTATGGGAACCTGGTCCTCCAGATTGGGAGTGGGAACAAGTATAGCGATTTTGGTTCCTTGACGGTTGAACTGTTCCGGATGAGTTACGCCGGCCTCTAGCCCACAGTCAGGCTTTTGAGCCGAAAGTTTTGGTTGAGGACCTTATTCGTCCTCTTGTACAGACTTGGGAATCCTGGTGATGCCTTCGCCCACATACAATCATTAGCTTTACAGCTACATGTTTCGAGCTGAGCGGTCGTCTTTTCAGAATCCAAAGTCTTACAGAAACATCATGCGGCCAACCAAAAGTAGCCGTAGAGTTGGACAACTGTAGCTTTTTGTAGGGTTTGAAACAAAAGCTGCAACAGATGGACAACGGAACTCAACGCTAGGAATTCACCGAAATTCACACGAAGTGTGGATGAAAAGTAGACGCATTCTGGAGGAGGGTACCACCAAACAACTGTGGTGGACGCAGTTTACGTGGATGACGTTTTCAAAAGAATAACAGATATGGGTAAAAAAGCACAAAACACAATACAGAAAGTATAAAGTACTCACAGGACCATCATAATCCGGATCGAAGAATAAGTGACTGGGATAACCGCGTTCATCTGCAGGATCCTCTGGGCCATCCTCAGCGAAAGCTGGGCGGACACGGCTTGAAAGATTATATACATTGTTCGGTTTTAATTGCCATAATCGGGAATACGGTGAAAATGCATGGAGTTCATTGAGAACAGATAAACCACTGGTTATGAAGTCGTAAATTAGAGTACTGTCCATCTGTGGAGTGGACTATTAGAGGAGTCAGCAAAACTTGATGATTATGGTGAACCCACACAAAGTTATCAAGGCTTGAACTGCCTTGCATGAAGTATCCTGACTAAAATCAAATAATGAGGCCAAAAGCCGTTTCCACACTGACCCATTAATCGACCCTCACCAGTGTACGACAAACGGCCAAATAATCTAAACAGAGACATTTAACCTTCATTGTGGACACAACAGCTTTGCCGTCGAAAATCTCCGGCTTGCCATGCGTTGTCACTGAGGGTCTGGATGATGGTTAGCGTCCCACACCTAAGCCTATCACGCTAAGCTGATCCTACACCAGCGAAAAACAACCGATGTAGGTCAATCCCAGATCGAAACTATATGTTGCACTCTACAATAACGATAGTAACGAAAACACAACAGCCCATGTGGGCTCCTGAAAAAACTGCTAAACTGAGTGGACTATACTACACACTGTATACAGAGACGTTTCTCCACAAAAAAACGCCCGGCTGTGCGAGCCTGAAAAGCTGGACGAGAAAGTCAGTAATTATAAGGATGCTGCATAACTTATGTTCGTGTTCACCATGATTGTCACCGACGGGTATAGCTATCGCCTAATAACCTCCACAGCTGAAGGCATTGTACTATGGCAAATGACGAACGCGATGTGGCTGAAACCTGGATTAGGTAACCATAAGCTTATCTTACCAATCAGTACTATGAATGATTTGTAGAATTGTCAGCGTACACAATCGGACACTCGTACGAGAAAACGACCACAGGCGAAGAATACAAAAAAAACAACGGTAGACAAATGGGGGACCGAAATGTACAACAACAACTCACGGAGAGTGTGACAAAGGGGCACAGCTGACAAGCTTTCCATCAGTGCCAGTAAAGTAGCCCCCAACTCTTGCATGTCGATAGTTATTATGAAGTCCGGGTGGAGCCTCACCCTGTTTTTGAAAAATAAGAGGGACGGATGTGAACGGTAGGGAAAAATTGCGGATTTGGCGGCAGAAAACCGACGCAAGCAGAAACACACGGAAACACAAATGCCCACATGATCTTAGCCGTGATTCAGGAGCAGCGCTACCAATCGTGCTGGATCGAAATAAGTGCAGCCTGACGATTCAATTCGCACCTAAAAAGAAGAAGAAGCGTTCAGCTGTAGCACCCTTCCGGTGCCTAGCTGCCATGCCACCCGAAGGAAGCACGAGGGCTGGGATACTGCCAGGTTGCCCAATCCCAGACAGGGGAAGTCGAGTGGCGGAGGTCGGATTCGAACCACGGATCTTCCGGTCAGTAAATTCGCGCTCTAACCACTTGGGCCATCTCGCACCTAAAGCACTTACTTTGGTCACAGTATGGCTCAACTGTTTTGCAGGCAAACTTGGGCCGGGCGGGAAAGTGGGTCGATAGTACACTGTGCAACTCAGAAAGACGCGTTCCAAGTTGTCCGGATCATCAGGATTATCGGTAACCACAGTCTGTGTTCCCGGAATTCGAGGGGTTGGTGTTGCAGGAGACTTTGGTGGTGACCTCATAGCTAGACCGGAGAACAGACGCCCAATTTGTTGAGTTCGAACGTCTGGTCCTAATCTTGACAGATTGGTTGGACCACGACGGAGTGTATAGCACATTTGATATTTGGCTGGGTCCTGGTTGCGGGAGAGTCGATAGGCTAAAGCGGGAGAGAGTTAAACGTGCGTGGGTTAGCTTACTTATCCACAATATATGCATTAAAGTAGCTGGCTGTGGTGATGCAAAAGGACCCACAGGCACTGAAAACTGGGTAAGGAGAAAAGTTCTGATCTTTGCAAATCTCTCAGTTAGTTTTGTGATAGGAGAGAAATCACTGGGTTTATCAATCGCCAGAATACGTGTGAAAAATAATACTTATTCCTCCACTTACTACATAGTACTTACGTAAGTAGCTAGTATCGGTGACACGGGTAACATGAGTTCAGTACCAGGATTCGGAAGTGACATAGTAATTCTAGTGTGTGCATGCTATTCAACTCCACAAACATTAAGACCCAGTAATTGCAGTCCATGCCCTGACAGAGAGCCACAAATACCATTTGATCAAAGCACAATCCGCCAAGACTTGAGATGGCTTAGTGATTACTGACCGGAAGGTCCGTGTTTCGGATGTCCTAGGTGATCTAAACATTGGGCGTAAACTCCACTCGAAAACCTTTCCAGAACACTGAAACTAATTAAATACATGTGTGTTGAAATCGGTAGGGATACTCTCATACACTACAACCTTACTCGCCAACTTGAGGGCAGTAAACGAGGGAAAAACTAGTCCCGGTTTATAAAAACATTGGGATTGAAACGACTCCGGTTGTTGCGAATTCTCCACGTACAGAATTTTCGGCCATCCAGTAAGAAACAACTTGCCTCCATAAAAAAACATCTAGTCCGAAAGCACGGATGACAGAAACCAGACGAACATTCCGTGAGTGTTTCTGAGTTACGTCTGTGCCATTGACCCAGTTATGTCCATTGCATAACGCAAAATATGCTGCCTATCACTGACCCGAGACAAACCGTTTGCTAATAAGCGATTGTTGGTTTGTGATAGGATATATAGAATATAGCAGCTGTTCAACCTAAATTCCGAATGGAAATATCGATATCATTTATGGAGATTTTTTGTCGCCCTCCAAGGAGATAAGGGCTGCATACCTCAGCCAATTACCGTGAATTACGAAAATGCCGGTAAGCTCAGAGTTGAAAGAAGAAACCACCTAACAAAAACAACACGTTTTAGTCGGTACCAGTAAAAGTGAACGGGGTTTTTGATAGAAATCTGAAAAATGGTGGGAATCTTCCATGTACCCTCGAGCAGATGGGAATAAAAAAACTGAAGTTCAAATAATCTTTGTAGATATTACCGTCTGAAGCCGTTCGAGAACTTGCAGATACCAAAATGTACTCGAGTAACTTTAGAGTTTCTACTATTCAGTGGCTGCAATGGAAAAAATCAAGAAACCTTAAGCCGAATACCGATAATACATGTCCTTTTTGGAGCAACTGCTGTTTGAATTCGCGCATGATCTAAAAGTGGCAGCATTGTTTGACTGTGGCTTCGATTCGCCCCCCGACCTCCATGAAAGAGACTAAAAATATTTCCAATATACGTGGGATATTGTACTACTGTTCCAACCGTACTGACGTTTTGCCTCCGGAAATATGTACGTCTGCATGCATGAATAAAGGGAGAACTTTTCGGTTGTTGGGTGGCGCCGTTAGGTAGGTAAAATCAAAAAGTCTATCCTCATCAAAAACAACCCGAATAACTTACCAGGTAACAGGCGTGTGGCAACAATTATGGCCTTTAACAACGTGCCCAGTTTTTCAAACAACCGAGACTGACGCAAATCTTCCACGGGAATTTCTTCCGATTGTTGCGCTCCATCTCCATCGGGACGCTTTTGCTCGATGGTAGGGGAAGACTGGAGCGAAGGATCAGAATTGGTTGGCGTAGTAAGCCTGTCCGCAGTGTCCAGGTGGAACTGCCAAACCTCGACCACCATACGCCCGTTGTTCGGCCAAGCGGTTGAGATTTCGAGACTGAGAATGTCGTGCACATGCACCGGAAACGCTGCATCCAGAGTCTGTTTTATAGTAGCACCGATTTCCGGATCCTCTTCAATGTTTACCATCTTCAATGTGAAATCAAACAAACAACTCAGAGAAACAGGACTTTTGAAAAACGTGATCACAAAATCAAGATGGACTGGCACTTTAAAACACAGTAACTTAGCACAATCAGTCCATACTCCACAAATTGACATTTCAAACTTTCGCAAAGTCCAGAACTACCAGTCCTACCATTAGCATAGAAGCAATCAGGACAGTAACCTATCTTTAGAAGTCAGAAACTGAAAGCCTTAGATGCGAAACTTAAGAAACCAGTTTACCGAGCTTGTCTATTGATTGCATACAAGCAACGACTTAGGATTAAATCCCAGATAGGTTAGTTGCGTACACATTCGATATTATAAACGACAAGCGAATAGTCAACCAGCCGTCCTGATAGAAATCGTGGCACTACCTCCACCCACTCTGGCTCTTACTGCACTCAATGAGAGTTTCAAGCAGTACGCATTCTCTGCCTATCACAGCGTAAGTGTTCAGCTATCTGCAGCTGTATTAGACAACTGGCTACGAGAATACCTGGTGTTTTGACACTGAAAGGAGAAAGAACCACGTTTTTACTGGAAAAGGCGGATCACGTCGTCGCCTGGAATCACTGCTGTAAATAATAATAAAATAAATAATCGTTCAACTGTAGTACCTTTTCGGTGCATAGCTGCCATGCCACTCGAAGGTTGCACGAGGGCTGCCAGGTTGCCCAAGCCTAGACAGGGGAAGTCGAGTGGCAGAGGTCGGGTTCGAACCACGGTCCTTCCGGTCAGTAAATTCGCGCTCTAACCACTTAAGCCGTCTCGCCTAGCAGGAAAGTCAGCTTCCTGAAAGCAACCACTGATTGCCCGAAATCTACCGATACTCTCAGCTTCACTAGATGTTGACCAGACAGACAACACCCCTTCAATATGCAGCGCGTCACAGTCCTCTATCAAACCCAGACAGCACGAGTCAGCGTTGATCAAGGTCAGACAACGCCCCCGCAATATGCAACACATCGCAGCCAGACCGTGTGCGTCAGCATTGGACCGAGTTCAGACAGCGTCCCTCCAATAAATAGCTTGAGACCATTGTACATTCGCACACACACGCACTCACGCTCTCGCACCCGCTTTGTTGGAATATAGCTGTTGTGTTCCCTTCCGTGAGTCTTTTCTCTCCGACACTAGGCACTGGAGCGGGTCAGCAGCAGATACCTCAGAGTGGCGAATCAGCAGATATAACATCGCTCCTCACTGTTGTACGGATAAGCAAGATTCTCGAATGTTGTGCTACAGAGTTCAACCTCCAAACGGCGCCTTTAAAGGTGAATATTAAGCATGACTGAACGCATTCTGTTGCGCAGAGGCTGTCCAAACACGGATTAAACAAGAGAGAACGATGCGTCTTAGGAAACTGACCGACGTCCTACATTTTTGTCGATGACTTATGGTCAATTTCATTCCCAAAGTTTTCATGTTAGTGACCTTTCTGTGAGTGGTGTTTGACCGGCGAAAGCGCAACATTTCGAAGGGAACACGCCAGCGGTTTACACGAATCCCAATAATACATCTGCCTGGGTTCGGCCTGCAAAATTGCTCAGTGATTTGCTGTGACTGGCATCTAAATCAAATTCATCTACGGCTACAATGGTTTACACTACCCATGAAAACTCGGCTTGACCCATTTGTAACGCAGGTCACTAGTCTACCGAAAGACACCCATGGGTTCGAGTTTTGACTGTCCCCATCTAGGTTCATGCCTTAAAACAGTCAAAAATCGGTATACTAGACATACAACGGTGCTAGAAATGTCGTCATCGTATTGACCGAAACCACGAGTAGCCATAGTACACCATGGGAGTGTGAACATAATAGTAAAGCAGGCCAACAGTCTGCCGAATCAAGCATCACTGTATCCAGCTGTCCGATTGTTCTTAGTTGAGTCTGCTAAAGGTCCTACCACAATGGGGTCTCCGACGAGCTACCTGTAATGATGTCACAGCACTTTATGATCACAAACAAATCGACTAAACCATGTTCTGGCTTGTGGTAAGTCACATTATTCTGTTCTGATTGTGCGATCCACTAGTTTATCACTTCTCAACGTACGCCTAAATGTCTAGGGGGCGAAGTCAGAAGACTTGCCGAAAACCTTTACGGTACGGTAACCGAGATATGTGCAAAGATAAAACAGATCCTCGCGAAAAAAGCCCCTTAAGGAGAGGATGCTTGGATTTCGGAAGGACTGTGCTTCAGAGAAAACTTACCAGATTGTTCCGTGCTCCAACAGCCGAAATGCAGTTGGTGTTGTATACGACGCCATTACGTGCCTGAACTATTGCATGTATTGATTTTATGATGAAGGACCGAATGCAGCTGAAAAAAGGATAAAAAGAACGAATGACATGACCTTTCTGTTTTGATATCAAACGGGAAATCACAGCACGTGATAATTAATCGACAGGCACATCTTCCTGGTTGGACTACACACATAGGGCGAGACATCGCTTCACCGAAAGATATATTACAATGCAAGCATATCCCATGATTAGGGTGAATAGGTGGTAAAAAGATCGTTGAAAAATTCTAAATGGCTTTTGGTTTGTTACTTCTGTTAATCGAGTGAATGCATCGCATTTTTCGGAAACGTGTCGACTGAAATAGCATTAAGTGTGCTTCCTGCCAATCTCTGACCGTGAGGGTCAACTCATTTCTGGTTAGTTTGACGGACGTCTTCAAATGAAATGGTACAACTTGACATACGGTGTGTGTATGACAGAGAGAGAGCAGCGATGAGCTGAGTTTGTTTTGACCAGTGATGCCCCGAAACTGCGCAGTATGGTAGTAACTATAACTGTCCGTTGTGCGGGTGAGACAACAGAGTAGAGACATTCATATAGACGACTACACATATTTTACTGGTATTCATAGTATTGATCAGTATTTTGAAGTATGTGAACATAAGACTGACGAACCACATGGCAGAGGAAGTTGGACCTCTTGGTCGGGCGTTGTGGAAGCAACAATGCACTAGAAGCAGAGGATAATGACTACAGACAGAAGAGAGGAAGCTGCGCCAATTCCACGCCTTAAATTGATCACAGTTCCTAGGAAACATCTCTGTGGCGTTGGCACCAAAATATGTTGCATTAGGTTGGGAAAAAAGGCGGAATACATTGTTGGAACGTCAAATATTTGCACCGAAAACGTGAAGTATCCTGTAAAGTAGCATGCCAAATTTGCGCCAGTTCGACCAAATAAGCACATTTGAGAAGCACCAGTGGGAAAATTCTGGCCGGGGTTAGGTGGTTATGTGAACTGAAAGCGAGCGGGGAGTTGCTGGACCGCCTACTTACCGCGAACATTCCGCGTCAAGCACTGGCAGAGGAAAATGAAAGGATGTGTACCAAAAAGAAGACCTACTGGTAGGTGTCACCAGTATGAAACTATGCAAATACAGCTCAGTTCAAGCAGAAGCGGACTGGAGAAAATGATGCACTAGGAAGAGGCAAAACATAGGTTGGAGTGTTCCAGTGAAGGCATAACTGAACTGGCAAACATAATCAACGGTTTAATGCTCTGGCGCTTTCAGATGTGTAAACATCACCGCGGACAATGGTACTAAGAGCCTTCCACCAAGAGGCTGTCCGCGAGGTGGCGGCTATCGATCCATGATAAAGAAGAGTCCTAAGGAGCAGTGCATTTGCAGAAAGTAAAAGAGGTTGTGGTGTACAACACATGATTACCGGGTGTTTAGTGAAATCGATTCGGACCCACTGCTTCAGAACAGCCTCTCCTACTTATCCACAGTAGTATTGGGGGCTTTCGGACCGATTGTGTTGCATCCCTAATGGGGAATGAACATGACTCTACTAAACTGCTCAGTTACAAAATCTAAATTCGCACAAAAGACAACAAATGTTTGATTCTGCTTCAAAAATCTACCATTCGCTGAAACATTACAGTTGGTCTCGGGTCATTCAGCGCATAAAACATCTGTGGAAAACACAAGTTGGTACTGTTAGCTGTGCGCAGTGATTCCCCACAAGGTGCCTCAAAAACCTATTTCCATTTATGCATATGATTAATGACAAATAGTGTGAGCTTGCACACGAGGTCGCCTTAGGTCCGGCATGTGTGCGCACTCTCGCGATGTGAAAGGATACGAGCACCCTTTTTGAGATGACCAATAGTAAAATCTCTAGCCCGCTGGAAGAATCATACCAGCTAACAGTTGGCGCCAGTTGCGTCATACTTCTCGAATAAAATAAAAGCTCACCTCAGCCCAACTGTCCTAATTTGATCCCGAATATGGCCAAATGAAGCTCCCCCAGTCGCTTCACTGAAACGTTCAGAGGCATCCAGTGTTTGTTATGCTACACCGCCATTGCTCCATATAACATTTACCTTTTCTCTGGAATACTGACATTTCTCCCAAGTGGATGACTAGTTACACGGCTACGAACACTATTACTTTATTACCATGTGTCTGGTGAAAATTCCTTTTCCTTGCTACAATACTAGCGCGGTTGATAATTTATCACGAGTTTCAAATGCTTCCATGTCGAGGACTGATTCATTAGCGTCCTGAGTTAATTTCGTGTCAATTTGCAAAGCAGTACTTAACTATAGGTGAATTTCTTTCGGACGGATATCTTCGTGCAAGGAAACAGTGAAATGCAAACGCCACATTCGGTTCGCATAAAATTTCCCTGATAATAAAGACGGGATAGACAATTTTTCAACCCAAAAGAAACAAGAACCTGAAAATAAACAGGGGATCGTGGTAGATTCCTCAGCTAGTGTCTCTTTAGCCCATTTGGGTCAATCTGGGAGACAGAGACCGTTCCAGATAGCTGTGGTGTATCGATACTCGCAACGAATGTGGTAACCACATTCAATTTTAGTTTAAATCCCTTTGTAACAAGGCTTCTGGCGTCATTGATTCTTCGGCGTCTCAAGGCGGCACTCGAATCCCTCACCCGTGAGCATCAAACGAGTGCAGGCTGTGTCAATTACATCTTCACACTCGTGTTAGACCATGTGTACATATGACCCACAATATTGGTGTTCTTCACTTCAAGGGTGCGTTCGATTCTGTCGATCGGTCAGGTGTGTTAACCACGCTTGCTCAAAGGGTACACCCCAACAGTTCGTGAACATAATCCGGTCCCCATGTTCATACTTTCGGGAGTGTTCAAATTCTTACTTCTTATCAACATGGAGTACGCAGACGACATCGCCATCATATTTGAGGACCAAGGTGAAGCACAATCCCTCCTGAGTAGACTGACAACCGCTATACCATCTTTCAGCATATGCCTTGCACCTTCCGAGTACAAAGTCATGCTTCAGAACATAAAGTCTCTGAACAAACCCCTTACAATCCCAAGAGAATCACTTGAAGTTGTGTGTAATTTTACATACCTCAGTAGTTGTATTAGCTCTTACAGAAGTGTCTGATGAAGTCAGTGCAAGAGTCTCAAAAGCCGATTTGTGTCACTTGTGACGTAATTAGATCTTAAGGTTTGCGTGTACGTGGTTGTCTTGTTGTATGGCTGCGAGACGTGGCCTCTGCGAATACATGATGTTGGTGTCTTCAGGATTTTTACCAACGATGCCTCAGAAGCGTTGCGGGACGGATGGCGTCAACGGATAATTAACGAGTGATCGGAAAACGGGTATTTGGTTGTACAGCAAGTACTTTATTCGCGGAAAACATCCAGCGCCATTGACTACGATGGCTGGGCCATGTGCAGCGCATGCCGAAACCCCGTCTACCGAGACGAGTGTTGTTCTCTGTGCCTCCTTCAGAATGGTGCGAACCGCGGGGTGGAGAACTTATGACTTGGCAGAAGGGCACGAAAGAGATCACGAAGAGTTTGGTTGTTGTTGGTGTTGTACACCTCCCAGGATGGGACTGCATGAGACTGCATGAAATAGCGGCTGATCGATGTCAATGGTGTTCGTGCTGTCAGTTTCTTTGCAGATTGTCTGATTGAACGCTTGGAGATATGGACATATCAGATGCTTGACGTAAGCTAGACAGTGAAGCATCAGTGTCAACACTGATATCGCTGTCTCAATGGTGCTGGTGATGACGATGATAAAAGCTAGGGGTGGGTTCAGGCCACGAACCCTCAAATGACAGTCCAATTTTAAACCAGGTTCCAATTTTGGAGCTCCAGATAGCTCAATAGTTAAGGCGCGAAATTATTGACCGGAAGTTCCGTGGTTCGAACCAAACCAAGGTGTATCGATCGCTCCTGTCTAAGCTTTAGCAACCTGGCAGTATCTCAGTCTTCGTGTTTTGGTGGCAAGGTAGTTAATCACCGATTATCATTGATTTCTAATTCATAATTCGGGTGGTTTCACAAAAACGAATCACTGGTGTTAAACAGTTTTTTGTCTTGGTCGAGACCTCACCCAGGAGATATTGGGCACCTTAGTCCAGGCTTCATCTTCAGCAAGGAATCATCATCCAGTACAGAACACCACTGGAGATTCCGCTGGAAAAAGTGGGAAAGTAGGAAATAACCAACGTAACCAATCATCCCATAGGAGTGAAAACGAGGATGCAGCACTGTTTAGACATTCGCCACGTCCGAGTAGCACGAGGGCTAAACATGTGCTAAGTGCCATATGGAACAGTGGAAACAATGACTCTCTTTTCATACAAGGCCACTGATTAGGAATGAGTTTGTTCTTACTGAGTTAGTGAAACTGATAAGCATTATGGATGCCGACTCCTTACAACTACCAAGCCTAAACTCGGATGATCTAGCAGTATTTCAGCCCTCGCGCGTCCTTTGGGTTGCATGACAAATATCCATCGAGTGTCACAGCTGGACGATTAGACACCTTTATCTCAAATATCCTGCTCCCGAAGGTCTCGAGCATCGTATTTTTCACAGCAGTGTAGGTCATGGGAAATAACTGAAAGATGAGGTAAATTGACCGCCAGCTTGTCCGAACTGCAGTTCTTAGAAACGTCCTTTTTTCGCACCAGTTGGTTTGGCTTGATTCCCATGGGTCTGCAGCGGTACATTTGACAAACTGCCTTTCATCCTTAATAAGATTTAATTAATGGCCCATGCACCGGTCATGATTGGACCTTCCAGAGATAACATCTTTTGTTACTAATCCACCACTTGAGACAGCATCGAAGTATGGACTGTTCTGGTAACCGAAACTCAAGGAAAGAGTGTTCCTAGAACATACTCATATGGGCTACATGAAATGGCAGTATTTCGGAATGCTCATGAGTTTCAAACCAGAGGATGGGCACGTAGTCGAGAACATGATCCCTCGTTCAGTATGGGGTCAGAAACGCCAGAGTGGAATAAGTACCACGGAGAATTTTCTCACAACAGCAAACTGCGCGCGGGTGGACAGGTAAGTCACGTGCAATGAATAAACTAATAATCAGCTGTCACTGTTGCACGACAAGTTGGATTGAAGTGGGTCGCGTGAGATCACACATGTATAGATGTTTTTAAAAGATCATACTGTTTGGCTGTGCCATTCTTGCGGTACATATGCATCAAGGAAACGTGAATAAAGCTCGAATTCGGTGATGCTACTGAGTTAACCAAGCCTATCAGAAAATAATAAACCAGAGTGGATTTAAATAACTGATTTTTCGGTTAGACATTCGAATCCAAATCATTCTGAGCTTCATAGCTCTCAAGTCACACGCAAAAGAATCACTGTACCAAACGGTAGACACTGTGATGTGTTTTACCTAACACATAGAGCTCGAAAAATGCCACACCACAATAACGACTCACTTTTCAATGGCGACTTTCTTCTCGTAGCGTGGCTGTTTCATTCAAATAAGCTGAAAAACACCAAAGCTGTGTACGGTGTGAAACCACCACAACACGATTACAAAGATGAACATCAAGCATGATTTCGGTCGTCAGACAGCCAATCCAGGCAAACAATTCAACAAACAAGAAAAAAAGCTATATGAAGTATTTTATTTCGTCATACATGACCATTACTAGAAAATCCTGCAAACTCTTGGTAAGGGAATTCCCAAAAAGCAAAACAATTTAAGCAAGATACATAATATAAACAACCTCAGCAAGCGAATGAAATCGACTGTGAAAATCAAGTGGCAGTAATAAAATAAATGGCACAATAGCAGCGAAATTGGGTCGACTGGCCCTCAGTAAGACCTATAAGCGAAATCACAGCAGCACATTGTCAGATCGAAAATTTGTCACGGGGATTATTTGTACGCGTTGCTCAGTTGATTCAATAAGGGAGACAAACATGTGCCAGCACATAGTCAAAAACACTGGAATGTCACATCACATGTCGGTGCATCCACAGGATGGATTGGAAAAACCCGTAGTAGAAAAGAACGAGTCAAAATTTGTAACAAGCGATCCGCGTAAATGCTAAGCCAAGCACATGTAGAAAATTACACTACTGTTGCGAGGTCAATCAAAGACTATGAAAAATGATCAAAATAAGCCAATCTGCCGAATGATGGAATCCCTCAGAACAGAATCCAGATGGGGAATTCAGGATGATATGCAAAGTACATAAACATTGGGGTCTAGAGAAAGTGCGGATGAATGAAAAACGACAGAATTGGTGTTATTGGTTAGAATTCATCCGGAATAAGGTTTCTTCAGCGTCGTGGTCAGCATCAGATCCTGAAAGTCATAAGCAGCTGTCATGTGAAACCCCATGTTAGCGATGGCGATTCCGTACTCTGTTGCAGAAAACCAGCTGAATGCTGTCCAATGAAAAGATAAATCTTGTAAGTTCGTGGGAATTGACGAATATGCATGGGGTACAGTTTGAAAACGACCTCCGAAAACGTAACGAGTGTATAGCCAGACAATTCCCAAAGGTGAGTTTGTAAAATAACGGGTCTTCCGCCAGACACTCAGGGATTCCTTTCAGTAAGGTTGCCTCACTGTGTTTCTTATTCCTATCTGTTACTCTGCTACCAGGACTCGGTGGCAACCGTTGTGGTATAGACATCAATAGAACGCCCTATTGGTATTTATTGCGGCTTCACTGGAGCGTTTGCTCTCCAGAGGTGTCATAATTTCTCCATTCCTCGAAACTCACTCCCCATCAACCAAATAAGCAATAATAGGTGGACACCTCTGGCTCTTCCACACTCACCGACGCTTCCAACAACACCAATATATCTGCACTAATCTAACGAAGATCGAGCATACGAGTTCTTTAGCTCTGATAGCACTAGGTAACAAGCGTTGCGCTATTCCCGCCCGACATATGGAACTCACAAGTTCTAAAATGTCTGTTAATATCGTAGTCAGTTTTCCAGGTTTTGGCATCTGAAATGTATAACAGCACTACGTTCCTGCAAGCAAATAGTATTATTGACGTGGCTCACAGATTAGAAAGACGAAGTAGTCATAGGACTATGTGATCAACTGGCGATCGACCGACAAATGACTCTAAGAGCACACAAAGGGGACTTAATTGCCAGTAGTCGACAGAATTAATGATCTTCCAGATTTCTATGAGAATAACCAAAAGTTGAGATGACTCTTAACCCTATCCACTGTCACACGTCATTTCCAAGGTTTCACTAGGCATCTGTCAATAGTACATGTTGACATTCATCCAAAGGCACCCGAACACGCCAATCGGCTGATTCTAGCTGCATGTTCGTGACTATCCACGCACACGTTTCCGTCAGTCCTGCACGCATTGTAAGATGCGAGTTCTTTGTAGTGGTTATGTAAACCTATCGACCATTGTTTTCCGATTGACCAGTTTGACACGATTTCAACTCTGTCCAACCAGCGAGCTATCCTCCGCATGACGCCCGCAAAATTTAGTGGCGTTCAACTAGGCTAAGAATCTGGGTCTGCATAGCAGGCTGTATTTTGCACATTCATTGTCACCACCAGGAAAATTTACGGGATTCCGGGACAATGTCCACTAAATGCGTATACATCGCTCACATGGATTTCAGCCAGAGGAAGGCTGATGTGAAAATTCAAGCTGGAAGAATTTTCTATCCTTCGGAGTGGAAACGCAAGAAGAGAAGTGAAAGGAGACATACACGATAGACAACTTCCTTATACACACTTTGCTGCTCAGTCGATGTTTCCACCAGACATGAATAGTAGTACGCAATGAATATGAAAGACGATGGTTTTCAACATAGATTAGCTGGTTCTCAGACACCGTATCACTGTGCGAGCAGCAACGCGGTAAACGAGCCCTCTGAATAAGGGATTGATATGATGTCGCTAGATATGCCTCAATGTGGTTACTACAGACATGGTTGTCGCAATCTTTTTTTTGGGCACTTTATCAGTCCCCAGGTAACACAAATTCACCAAATTCGAGCATGCAAACACTGACGGTGACCACAAATCGTGGCTCATCCTAGCATTGAAAAGATACTTTGCACAACATTACACAACGAAATATCTGTCACCAATTGGTTCAACAACTCTTGCACAGCTACTGCATATTTACAGGACAGAATAGCAGCCCACAATCTTTCCATCAAATTACCGCCCTTAGATCCCCATTCACAGCGACATCGTCACACATACGCTCCGTATGAATCATTCGGACAGTAAACCAATTACTTTTGTGATGTTTTAGCTAGCAAACCAGGAGCCTCCAACGAGACCATTCTCAGGAATGGGCTCAATGCCCAATTTCCAAGTGATAGCATTTCTTGGGGAGGACTGAAATATACTAAAGTAACAGCAATGGGTGAGCTTTGCGGGCAATAATGTTTACACGCTGAACTTTTTCGACAAAATGAAATAATCTTCCTGCCTTGACTCATTGTCTTGCGAATAGCAGTTGCAGATCTATTCAGCTGCCTTCTGTGAAGTAGCCAAATAAAGACTAATCTAACCACAGCGGAAATCCATTTGGCGTTGAAATGTTACGTTCCATCCATTTTTCAGTGCGCAGAATTATGCCTAAAGGACCCGTTTTGATTGGCATCCAGTGGCTTGCACAAAGTGGTCCATAAAACTCACGCCTCCGCAGGTGTTTAACAGAAAACAAAAACATGTTTTATATAATTCATGTAAACCAACACAAAGGGTGGTGGCACGCCTATAAATAGTGCGATGAGTCGTAAATAGGTCATCCGAGAATTATTTTCGGAAAAGGTGCAGAATATTTACCTTATTTATAATATTGTATTCCGCATAAACCACCAGGCGCGTCAGTGGGTTTACTCGTTGAGGATAAACTTCAGCAACAACAACAACACTTCTTTGATATTAACCTTTTCGTCGTCCAGATGAAATTAAAATGATGATTCCTAGGTGAAGTTCCACAATACAAAGATACTTTGGAAATCCCTCAAGCATCATTAAGCAAACATTTCATCCACCAAAGATGTCAATAAATAATAAGTTTACAAGAACCAAACAGCAACAGACTAATTAAAGAATTAACGATACTCGCAAGTGTCGGGATGTGCTAAAATTGTAACGTCCGAAGCAGATGAAGGAAGCCCATTACCGGACAGTGTCCACAACAAAACACTTGTCAACTAGTTTCCATTCGAATGGGCACGACACAATTAAGATATCTCTTAGAGGAACAAGATCCATAATCAAGTCTGTCTAACAAACCGAAATCGCTCACGAGAAAACTGTTGCACTGTTCTTCAGGCTGACGTAGTGGTGGTTCGCTCAATACACCTGACCTGCAGTTCGGAAACAATGACGGTAACGAAAACAAGCTATCCCGGGCGAGGGTAGATACACTGCTGGGAGGCAGGTTCATCCATGACAACAGCAACTTCATTACCAACAGCACATCAATCTTCCAAAATGATCAACAGCAGAGAGCAACCTCTGAGGGTTTCGTGCCACTGTATCACCTACTTCGCGAACAGATTCATTCCATCCCTCAATTTCGCCCTGTTTCTTGAATTTTGAGAAAGCGGCAACAGCCAGCTGAGGCGCACTCACTACATGTATTTGGACTGCTGGCACTGCGCGCGTCATTAAATGGTGCAAGATAAACAGAGTAAAATCGCATTTCGCATAACGTTACGTGTGGCAGTGTCTGGCGACCAACGATGTCCTTTCCAATTTTAAAGCCCTTATGGAGACACTGTACGCGAACTCCTATGGACGGGTACGAGTATACGCCAAGCTTTCACCTGAGGTTACCCCCTCCAGCGGTGGGGGCGTCCCACCTTTCCTCTTCAACTTTGTTGTTGATGCGCTGCTTGAAATTCCTCTTCCAGACTCTGAAACTACCGGGGTCAACATACTCCCAGAGAGTCCCCTCAAAGATACTGTGTATGCGGACGACATGGCTCTTCCTGTTTCAGATCCTTCAAAACTACAAACCATGTTAAATAAACCAAATAATTTTGCTGCACGATTGGGCATGAACTTTACACCTGCAAAGTGCTGTTACAAGACTGGGTGGGACCAAACCCAAACCTCATGCTTGCAGGCGAGCCAATGTGCGTGGTAGATAAATTTGTCCACCTGGGTAGTTGTATAAGTTCCGATGAGCAGGCTGTAAATAAGAGCATTTCGCTAGTCGAGTAGGCTTTCCCAGGTGATACCTATGGCGCCGGCGTGAGGCCAGTGCTTGTTAAGGCCAGAGTTTACACTGTGGTTGTGTGTTCCATGCTGCTTTACGGATCAGAAACTTGGCTTCTACGCGCAGAAAGCATACGAAAGCTGTCAGTGTTTGACCATCGGTGTCTGGGAAGCATTGGTCGGGTCTGATGGGAATATCAGATTGGCAATGTTGGGATACACTAGATGGCCGTAGAGAGAAAAAACTCCTCCGCAACCAGAGAAGTAGTCATGCTTCATAAGCTACTCTGGTTAGGACATATAATCCGTCTGCCTCACAGAGCTTTTTTCTTCCAGCCCCATGTTGAGTGGAGGCGTCCAAGAGTTGGACAGTGTATGATGTGGCAACGAAGTATGAAAACACTAACCAGTAGACTGAGTAAGACAGAAAATTTCCGCCTCCGTGGATGGCACCCGCAGACATGGACCGATCGCACACTCAGTAGCGATCATGTATTTAAAGCTATCGTCTTCAATGCGTAGGTACCCTCTTTCCGAAATAACTGAACACATAGCCTCCAAGGCTTTACTGTATGTCCCACAATCTTCCACTTTTGATGGTCGAATCTGTGGTAGTTGGAACCAATGTGCTTATGATACACGCTTTATAGCTGATAAATTGATTGAATCGATTGCGCTAAGTTTGACTACAACACTAACCAGCCAATGTCCAATGAAATTTGGAACTCTTTGATAAATTGTTGAATCGATTGCGCTAAGTTTGACTACAACACTAACCAGCCAATGCCCAATGAAATTTGGAACTCTTTGAATGTGACATGAATAGCATGTGTCCGACGGAGATTAGAGTTCGAGATAGCTCAGTGATTAAAACACGGACTTACTGGTCACAAGGTTCGTGGTTCGAACCTGATCTAGCACAACGGCTCTCATCTAAGCTTGGGCAACCTGACATTCTCCGAGACCTACCATTTCCTTCGGTTGGTATGGCAGCTGCTACAAATGGACGACTACTATTATTTTGTTCAGTATTCAGGTATCAGAATTGAGCTAGTATTAGCCACAATAGCAAGCGTTTCTGTTCCATTCGTCAACTACGATTGGTTTGGACACAGTAGGAACGAAGATGACAGACAGATAGGTCGAGGGACATACCACCTCTACAGATTGGCCTGGGGACCCCATGATGCTATATCGGAGAGCACCCAACAGCAGAACATATGTGGAAAGAGTATCACAAGGAGCTTAAAAAACTGTTAAAAAATTAGGACCTGAGTGTGAATGTCATATCAGAAGACTGTGTGGAGCTACTTCAAATGTCCAACTTTGAATCATCGAGTTAATGCAGCTCGAGTGAGCCAAAACAGCTTGAAAGACAGTGGTTCAGATCAGGGTAGGTGCTCGCTGAAATTTACGGGGCCATTTTAATCAATTATCTTTCTGCCTTTTCCACAGGAGGTACAGAGCAAAACAGGTGTCGTCTGGAGTGATGATTTGGGTCCCCAATATTGTTCGCCTTCTCTTTTCATTCTGCATACCAGGGAGTTACAATCAGATTTGAACGGCGAGACTTGCCTGGTACGCCAGGCTCAGGAGATTAGTAATATAAGTCAGCTCATGGACCACATCTATGGAAAATCTGAACACATCTCACCGACAAGGTTTCAACTGCCTGGTGAAGAAGAATATTTATTCCTTCACCCTTTTGGCCCACCAAACTACCATACATGTATGTACCTTCACTTTTATCCGGCGCCTGGTAATGTATCAAGCTAGACTGAATTTGTAACCGGAATGAGCTTCAGGACTGTAGTCCCTGTTTGATTTCATCGTTGAGAAATGACGAACGGTCAAACACCCATCAGGTTAGATGCAGCGCACAAAATGCTGCACAACCGTGATAAGAATTGATGCCCATTAAAAATTTTTGAAAAAAATTAGCAAAAATTCAGCGCGTGGACATACCATTAGGATGACATTCTTGCCGATGAAAGTAGATATGGTATATAAGGAGCGCTATAAATAGCATGGTCAAAATGAAGAACATCAGTTTGACGGCATACGAGTGCTGCATCTAGAAAGATTTGGTCAGCTCACAACATAACAACAAACTCTGGGAGAGAGCAGACTGTCACGCTTGCAGATTCGATGTATCGCCAACACAGTCAGCATGTACAAACTCGAGGCGAATAAGAACACAACGAACATGCCCTCGTGAACAGCTAGAAAGGTTATTAAAAAGCAGCAAAGATTACGGAAATTCTCCCGGTTCGACACGAATGCAACACCAACAAAGGTAATAACATCAACGAGATTGAAAAAAAGCGACAGTTCCACAAGAGTGCCACAACAGGGGTGATCACAGCGGCGAAGAAGAAACTTGTGGTACTGATAGTATGTAGCGGCAAGCAGTAACCGGGGAGCACTGTGTAGACCAATCGCATACCTCCATAAGTAAATCTGTGGAGTTATACCTGTTACTGCACTGATAGAGGGGACAAAATTAGAGACCTGAAAGTTATTAGTAGCAAAAATCGACTTACCCCACAAACAGACTCTGTCACCTCGTCGAACGAGGAAAAAACTGAGAGAAATGTACATATAATGACACCGAAAAATGGAAGGCTAGTTCCAGTTATCACAAGTAGTCGAAACGGAATGTTGATTAAGCCAGGTTGAGGGACTAATTGAAAGTCGGGGCCGTTCCGGCAGGTGGTGCGCATCCTTAATTGGAGCGCGCGCATTCAGTTCAGGATTTTTCACCGATTCAGGGATTGATACATAGAATCAAGGTATTTGCCCGAGGTTCCCGGGCCGGGTTTGTCGTTGTTGTTCATTGGCTTCCGTTTAAATGAAAGGCGCAAGATAAAAAGGATGTAGCATTAACTTCTCAGCACGATGCAGTAAATTTGCCACTGCCGGGGTCCATAAAAAGCGTCTAGACCTGTAGAACGTCGCTAAATTTGACCAAGACTTATCTAGAATCATGTCTGGAAAATCTAGTTCCCCATCCTGCAACCGACAAAGTCAACACGGAAGTATATATTTGCTACAAGTGGTAAATAGGTGCAAGTGTTTCCTATCACTTTCCTTCTTAATAATTTTCGCAATCTTCTCCAATTACTTGGTGCTCACATTTGACCATTTCCTAATTTGTTTTATCACTTATTTTCTCTTCGCATTTAGAATTCTGTTTGCCAATGTTAATTTGGCTACTTTGCAAGACATCACGACGCTCTAACCTAATACCATGACTCACATTCTGCGAAATAAAATTCCGAGAGAGATATTCCCGGGTTTTCATTTTTACCTTCATCCTACTTGCATCAAAGCCCTCGTGATCTCAAAGCCGCCTTTGAATTTATCAAGCTCATTGTTCTCTTGCCCTCCAGTGTACTGCAGGTTTAGACTTGTCACGAACGTTTTGGTTCACCACACTTTGACTTGTTTCTGTGCGTTATCCCACAATAACCTAATTTCTAAGAAACTAATTAAAATCCTTCTTCTCTCCCAAACTCCCAGTCACTCACGCAGTTGCTCATACATGTCAGCACATACATATCCGTTCCTCTTAGCTACCTCTGAATAGCACCTCAGTACGTGTCATCTAGTGATCTGCCAAGGTGAGTTGGACGGACGCGCCTTCGGGTTTGCGCCGCTGAGAGGCTCTTCCCAGTCATCATCTGCATACCACGGCCTCGAAGTCAGGCATTTCCAGTTCTGCCTCAGTGACCTGGCTCAAGCTGCTGATGTCGGCTTATGCCTACCTTATCTTATAATGGCACAGAAAACGGACATTGATAAGAACCACCTCTGGTAAATTCTCCCAGGATATATCGGAAAATAGCGGCAACGGAAAAAAATTTGTGCTCCAGACGGCACTCTTAAAGGTGGAAGAGCAAATATGCTGCAGTTGTTCTGCGTTATTTTATGCTGATTTCGTCATAGAAAAACATCTTTACACTGATCTGGGTTTTAGGCAATCTGCTGGAATGATTCAATAGTTGATAATGCAAACCAGCACTACATGTCTCTTAGTTTATTTTGGTTTGGACAATAAGCGTAATGCGGCTATCAAGTTATTTTGTTTTTACATCAGTGCAGTCTATAACAGTATTAAGAAACGAAGGCGAATTCATAAGCGACTGATGGCTGTTGACTAACCAACTCTTCCTTCCATCCTTCTTACTTCCTGTAAATGGCGTACCTGCCCATGAATGATGCACAGACAGAAATGCCGCCTAATTATTAAATGTGACCCAAATTGATGAGGTGCTCAATATAAAGTGAGTGTGTATTTCTTTGTTACTGTTAAGAGAGTTTTGAAGCACCTGCGTCAGTCTCCGAAGAAAACGTCGCACTATTAGAACATCTATTGTGGACATACGAAAAAACAGAAAAAATTTCAGGCTCTTGCACACATAACATCTTGCTAAACAAGTTACTTGAAATTTTTGAAAATGGATCTCACTTCAAAATCAGCCCGCCTAATAAATCTAGCTTGGTTCTGCAAACACCAAACGTCGATATTTTATAGCTAGTTTACGGATTTTTTTCGAGGTTGTCGAGGGAGTGAAAAAACTGTATCCTAAACTCAAACAACACTTGCCATACAATCTCGGTTGAATAATAGTTAGAGTTGTGGACATGTTCCCCAGATAGCTCATGTCTCATAAATCCACTGTAGTAATTTTCAAAGTGATGCGCACTACCTATGTTGACCACTGATCCGTAGACGCACAAGGCTCTTGTCTAAAAGAACTTTGCTGACGAAATAAAACTCTTCAAGCTAAAATGTTGCACATTATTTGACGTATGCTCAAGCCAACAATCGCCCTAATCTGTCTTTCCTTAACCGCAATCTGTTTCAGTTAATCATCCATCTAAATTTATGGCGCGCATCCGAATTTTAAGGTACCATGCAGTTGATTCATATGTGCGTTAAGAAATTCGGGGTTGTCCTTTTCATCCTTCACGACATTCGAGATGGCGTTAAACGAACGCGTGCGGTGTAACTATGCGGTAGTGGAGCGTTGAACCAATGATCAAAGCTCCAAAGCTGCGTTCCCTTACGAGTGGATGTACTGCGAATGCAGCAGACGGCCTCCAAGACAAGCGAAAAACCGAGTAACCCAAAGAAGTGGATAAAGTTTAGCGAGGTCTTTAGTAATGAAATTGCGCAAAGTTTCGCCTGTCGAGTGCGTTTTAGTCTGAGGAAGCAGGGAAAACACAACCCGGTCACCTCATATTACCTTGAACGAATCAATAAAGTTTCCAATTATTTAAACGATTGGCTTCTAATAAATATACGGTTCGCCGAAGAAGATTTTATCACCTACATGGCACCGCTGAAGTACGAAATGTCGTCGTGTGAAGTGCGGAAGCATTAAGGAAACGAAGCCAGCAAGGTCCTTGTCACTCAATATTGCTTGTAGTATCGACTATCTCTGCGGAGTGTGGCGTTTTGTACCTTTGTTTTACTTGCATTATAACACTACGTATTTCATCAATTGCATAATCGTTTTTGTTTGAATACGAAAAACTACAAAAATGCGCACTTGTACAATTTCACACAATACAAGCGTGGTCACGTGCTTCGACTCTCTCATCTGATTTCGCTCGCGCTCGCAGCGGTCATTCGCGAGTCTCATGTACTAACTCTGGTACCAAAACATTTCAGACATCTTCGGAATCTATTATATGTGGGAACTGTTCAGGAGACCTCTGGACCAACATGCTTGGATTATTGTTTAGTCGCTGACCTGGGCCAACGACGAACTATTTTAAAGAGAACAATTGTTAGTGAGTCTGTTCCATCTGATCTCTTTATTTTTGTATACCCAACCCAGCGTAATTATTTTCATTTCTTTGCCATACACTCCTGGTAAAATAACTCATTAGGTAGCCAGACCACTACAAATTTGGTGAGCCCGAGTATTTCTAGATATTTTTTGAAAGCTTTTTCTTTCAAGTCGTCGTAATTTTGTTTCTTTTGCCCGGTAATTATGGAAGCACACTTTGATTCAACGGATTTAGTCGAGAATGCAATTAGCATACGTTTGCCAGACTACAATCCAAGCAACCCCAGGGTATGGTTTTACCAGGTGGAGGCCGTTTTTGCTACCCGACGCATCACTTCCCAAGTCACCCGGTTTTCCTCTTGTCCAGCATCTTCCGTGTGATGTAGCAACAGAAGTTGAAGATATGTTGGAAGATATTCTTCAGGAAAATCCAAATGACGCCCATCGAGCGGCCTTCATAAGTAGGACAGGGAAGTCAGAAAACAAGATGCTACGGGATCTATTCACCACTGTCGAACTTAGGGACAGATCGCCATCACAAATACTTCGCCACATGCGCAGTGTCCTCTGCGGACGTAAGCGAGCGGTGGAAATTATGGCCCAACTATGGCTCGACAAACTCCCACCCTCCGTGTCTCGCGTCATCAGCGCTTTCGTTGATGACCACAGCTTGTAGCAGCTAGCACACATGGCGGATAACATACACGAAACATGTCCCAATATCCCCGTAAGCTTCGTCTCCCGCCCTGCACCCACTACAGATTCCGAGGATTCACATTTTGCTGACATACTTAGGGATTTTCCAAACCTTACTCACCCATGTCAGTGCACCCAATCGGTCACTCATTCCGTCGTTCACCACATTCAGACGAGAGGTCCACCTGTCCATGCCAACCCCTGCCGACTTCATCCGGATAAGCTACAAATCGCAAAACACGAGTTCGAATACATGCTCGAACTCTGCATCATCCGCCCTCCATCGAGTCATTGGTCATCAGCCCTGCATATTGTACCTAAGAAATCTAGAGGTGATTGGAGACCCTGTGGAGATTACCGTTCTCTCAACAACGCTGGTATCCCCTACAAGCCGCTAACGGTACCCGCATCGCTATATACGGCGAACGTTCCCTCACCCTTGACCTCGGATTGCGACGTGCGTTCAAGTGGATCTTCCTTTTTCCCCGACGTCCAAACACCCATCATCGGTGCAGATTTCTTGACCCACTACAATCTATCTGTCCACGTGCGACACAAGCGTCTCTTAGACACGCTTACTTCCCTCTCAGTCAACGGAATTAATGCCCCAACTTCATCCACAGGTATCCCAGTTATCTTACCGGATTCACATTTTGCTCACATACTTAGGGATTTTCCAAACCTTACTCACCCATGTCAGTGCACCCAATCGGTCACTCATTCCGTCGTTCACCACATTCAGACGAGAGGTCCACCTGTCCATGCCAACCCCCGCCGACTTCATCCGGATAAGCTACAAATCGCAAAACACGAGTTCGAACACATGCTCGAACTCGGCATCATCCGCCCTTCATCGAGTCATTGGTCATCACCCCTACATGTGGTACCTAAGAAATCTGAAGGTGATTGGAGACCCTGCGGAGATTACCGTTCTCCCAACAACGCTACTATCTCAGACAGGTATCCCATTCCACATATCCACGATTTCGCAAGTAGCCTATGCCATACAAACATCTCCAAACTAACTTGCATGGACCATCAGATTATGCAGGCCTTACTTTGTTCAAACTCACAATTTATCCGACAATAAGGAATGCATAATCTGCAATCATGACTCGTATTAGCCATAATCGAGGTCCCGGAGCAAATAATTTGTTATTCGACCAGGCAAGCAGATATAAATCACATATATTACAAAGTACATATTATAAATAATGTGAGTGCTATATTATGTATATTACGTACTA